ATTCTATAGAGGTAAATGTAGGGTAGCCGAGCGGTCTAAGCCATGTACTGTCTTCGCTCGCTTGGAAACCGGGATCATGGGTTCGGATCCCACTCAGGGCATGGATGTTTAGTTTGTGTGTGTGTGCGTTTTTCTGTGTTTGTATACAGGTAGAGACCTTGCTACCAGCTGATCACCCGCCCAAGGAGTCCTACCGAATGTCTAAGATCTAGAAAAACCGAAGTGAACGGAGAAGTTCATAGAGGAAGGCCTAGGCCCACTGGGGCTGTAGTGCCAAGGAAAAAAAAATGTAGGGGAAAAGTGACGTAACCTCTGTTCGTAATCAATTAAACGCCACGCTATGAAGACATAAACAAGCAGAGGTGTAGGTCCAGCTTTCTTAACCTCCGCCCCTGATAACAGGTGAGACGTCAGCTTTAATCCCGAAGAAACAATTTCCAGTGCCCGTCGTATGGGAGGCTGGGTGCCCCATCCACATGTGCATGTATATCTTCCGTAGTGAGTGCTGAACAAACTCACGGAGTTCCGATAAACTTGTTATGAAGAGAATGCTATTGGCGGTCACTTCATTTTTGTACTCCTTAATTTAGCAAAATACGTAAGCCTAACGTGGCACTTAATTTAGGACCCGCCAAATTTGGTATACTAATCGACCTTCGCAAGTTTTTCGTTGCCTAAGATATAACTCCTCGTGTAGGAAGTAATGTAATTCATTTCAAGTTCTAGAAAGTATGTGTATAGCTATCAAGAAATGAGGATGTATTGGGCAGGACATGTAGCACGAATGAGAGAAAAGCTGAATACATATAGGATATTGGTGGGGAAGTCAGATGGATAGAGACCACTGGGAAAACGAAGGCGTAGTTGGGGGGACAATATTAAAAAGGATCTTAGAGAGATAGAATGGGAAGGTATGGATTGGATCGATACAGTTCAGGATAGGGACCAGTGTACAGTGAATGCGGTGCGTAGTTTTTTGTCTGCAATGGAGCCAGAAGAAACCGTAGCATTGGCCTCTCTTGTTTATTTCTACGACGGACGTCACGACGTTCGTTACAACGGGCGCATTATGTGCGCTCGTGTGGCCCCAGCCTTACAGTTCTTTGTAGTTACGACCTGTAAGTGGTCAGCAAATCTATTCACCAACCCAAAACCCGTCTGTAGTCACTAATACACGTGATAATATCATTCATTCATCAATAATCTGTCAGACGACAGGTCCACAGTCTTTTCCAAAACAGTTCCTCCACTTAATGAGATCTCAAGCTTTCTCCTTCAAATAAAAATATCCTCTTCTGTCCCCAAAGTCATCCGGCATCTTCTTACGTCTTCTGGGAACTTCTATCCGCCCCTCCAGTTTGTTTTGTCTCCAGAGGAAACATCTCGCATACATGGTATCTCTGTTTTTGGAAAGAGACTATCCAGGAAAAGTGATGATGTGGTAGTTTTTCCATTTGCTTTCCACATCGCAGTACAACAGCCGTTCAAACCACTCTGGTCACGCCTGTTGCTATACGAACTTGAACCATCTCAAGCATCATTTGCTCTGTGCTTCAAGTCGCTGCTGATGACGCTGCTTCCGGCATCAGTTTTTGGTTTTTGGTCTCTCTCTTCGTCTGATGCCTACCCTTTGACCTCTCCAGCAAGGGAGGCTCTGCCAGTAGCTACGCTACCGCTGGTATAGCTCTCAGGGTCCTTGGCAAGGTGGAGACATCAACGAGGGGGTGTGACAAGATCATCTGCACCAAAATGATATATGTTCCATATACATATAGAGTGAATTTCTGTGCAGGAATATCGCTGAATATAAGCATGGGAGACAATGCATAACACAAAACTGCCATCTTGCAACGACTATTTGCTCTACACTCAGACGCATATCGATATTCGATAGGCACTACTATCGAATGTCTGACGTGAACGTACAAGTGCAGTGTATATCAGAAGCTATCGCGGACAAGTGGCGCTATCTGCAGATTTGTAGAGCAACCTCATGCAAGGCGTGAAAGCAAAGCATGGAAGGTTCAAAGGCCGATATTCAGCATTAGCGAAGCGATGGAGTAGAGATTCTCGCAATGGTGAATATGAATAAAACTTCAGGCATGTGATGCGTGTAGTCTGGCAGAATTTCGCAAACGTTTCGTTGAAATTTACTTCCTCCGTCTTCAGGTTCGAAGAATAATCCAAGCAATCCAGAAGCAAAAAGGACGAGCCGTGCAAGTTTTCTTCGTTCGCTTTGCTGTATTTACTTCTTTTTGGTTCCTTGGTTGGCTTCCTCCTTGACCCTGAAGAACGAAGCTCACGTTCCTCCAAAAGGTCGGTGAATTTGCACTGCATCTGACAAGGCGGGGTGATACAGTGGCCTGACATCGCCTTGAACCAGGTCATGTCCCCGTTTTAAAGGTAGTTTCTTATTTCCGGGCTCTATTTGAATCAATAGAGTGTCATCTTTTTCTAGTTCTATTTCTTATATACTTAAAACTTTCAATAACATTTCGTTTCAGAAGAATTATAAGTTTACTTTGGAGTGCGGGTGAGCGACATAACAATTGAAGTCAGCTGTTTGTTTTCGAAACCATAACAGCCACAGGGGAACATCCGAAATACTGTCCTATGCCCACGGCATGTACATACTATTTCAGGTTAAACAGCACAATTAAATGTAATGACAAATCACCATGAAAATGAAATACTGTGTTGATGAGTTATATCTTCTGCGATATGATGTCTTGTCACCTGAAATTTCGGAGAATCATGTGGCCTCCATCCACAAGGTCGAAGAGAAAGCCAAGCAGGGAAGCGTGAGAAAGGTGGCAAGCAGAAGGGAGAAGTAGTAAGGGCGTAGAAAACAGTGGAGTTAGAAAGAAGTAGCATGCTTAGGTCCTGCACATGTGGTGGAAGATAAAGGACAATTGGAGCGAGGGAAGTGGGAACAGGGGGTTAAATGCTGAGGGCTAATGAAGGCCCATAGAAGACACGAGTTGGTGTCCTGATAATCGCACGGTGTGGTGAGCCTGCGGAGAACCATGCTCCAGAACAATCTGAGTGAGGCTTCCTACGGACTTTTGTAGAGCTGATGAGAGGTTTGCATGTCTTATCTCCTCCTGCTCCCTGTTCACATCATTGGGATGGAGCTCAATCACAGTCGCCTCCATGATGATACAATCCGTGTATCTGGGATAGTGGAGAGGATAGTGATGTGGTGTAGCCAGATGCATTGGCCCAAAATGATATTCTGTTCCACCACATCTGACTTGTCTGGATGTTCCAGATGTCGGTGGTTCTCCATCATCCTGGTGCCGATCGAACTGCCTGTGTCCAATGTTGGCCTCAGAGCATTCACAGTGCTTCAGTAGGAGGTCGTCCTTGACCGAGTGAAAGAAATTAGAGAGAGGGGCCCACAGACTAGATGTGGTTCCGAGACAGAATCCTGCTGATGCCAGACATAAGGCAGGAAACAACTGAACCTGGCTTTATGTCGGGCTGCAGAACCGTCAGGAGAGGGTAGAGGACCCTGCAAATCTGCCACACAGAGTAGCCCTTCTGCTTGAAAACGTACCCACGTGAAGGCTGTCTTGACCACACCTTCCACTAGTGTGGAAAGTACAACCTACTCTTTGAAAGACTGGTGATAAGAGCTGAGTTTAATAGAAGTTGGTGTGAGTAGTTTTATGGTACACTTTATGGCCTAGAATGCCATCAGGTCTCGTGTAATTATCTAAATCCAGGAAGGGAATAAGGCCATTTTTTTAATCTCCTAGGTGAATTGAATGTTCTGGTGGACACTGTTCAGGTTGTCAGGAAAGTCCCTTAGTCTCTCTGGGCCATGTGGCCAGCTGACGATAGTGTCTTCCACATAATGAAAACATGACAGAGGCTTATACACTGGCCGGTTGAGCACCATTTCCTGAGAGTCCTGCACGAAATTGTTTTGATAACCAGATATAATGGGAAACCCAGAGCCACGTTGTCAGACTGTTTGTAGAACTGACAGCGAAATTTCTATATTTATTTAAAGAAAGTATAAATATATTTATAGAAAAAGATGAAGAGGCAGAGGAAACGGTTTCTTTGATATTACTCTAAACAAGAGTATGACGCATACGCCATCAATGCTCAAATATTCTTCAAAAGCACCTTCCACACCATCTCAACACCCAGACCAGTGAACACAATGATACTACATACAAGCAACAGCACAATCTGATGTTTTTAACAAACTGAAAAACAAAGAGCCTAACATCATGCAAGAAGGATAAATATGGCGTGGAGTAATGTTTGTCTGCAGTGAACAAGGCAGGTTTAACAAATTCTACTTTTACTCTAAAAATTTTCAGGAAACATTTTATACAGATTATATGACATAACTGTGAAACTTATTCTAAGATGTACAACAAGTGTCACGACTATAGGAATGACCCCAAGGGAGCCAAAATATATTAAAGATATCTAATTGCACTTGTTCTATTAAATTTGCTACAATGGATCCTTGTTATTACACACATTTGGCATTTATCTTTGACATCCAATATAAGAGAATGGCTTTAGTGAAACTGTTGAGTATTTCAAGGGATGAAGAAACATATTGAGCTAATAATATAATAAGATGACGACAGTCTCTCCACTGAGATAATCATTACATTGCTACAAGGTGTGGCATGTTCTCCAGATATACAGCGATCTTATGGTCTGTTCTTTTCTTCAGAATTACAGCGATCATGGACCTAATATTGATCGGTCCCTGTGTAAGGGCTTCGCACGCCTTCTTTAAGGCAGCTCTGGCCACATCTCTGTGTTTGCCTGAGCAGGTCAGATTTTCTCTCTTCCCTGAAGGCGTCTATTTGACGATCCAATGTCAACTTTTCTTTTGCAAGGAAACGTTGTTTTGACAAGTGAGATTGTTTCTTGGTTAAGAGGCCATCTGTCAGAGTGGCTTGTTTGGATGTTACTTTTTCTTTTCTTGAATACAGTCGCATTGAGAACATTTATGAGCATCTGACGGTACTGCATCTGAAGCCATTCTAGTCCCTTCTGAGAGATTCTCCATGCCAGCACCATTTTTATCTGCCTTTCTTATTTCACTTGTGGTGGAAGATTTTGCAAGCCATGATTCAAAACACATGATTCAAGCCAAAGGTTGTCGTATGTCCTTTATATTCCTGTCCTGCAAACAATTTATATAATAGGTGAGTATCCTACAAACAAGCTATGAAGTAACGCACACAATTAAAAAGAAAGCCAATCATGAGAGACGCCTTAAGTTACAGAAAATGTAATGGGGTCTCCTTCATGTCTTGTCACAGCGTACCTGCAGTCCTGCCAGGAGAGACGGCTGCAGGATTACTTCACTATTCTGTCACATAATCAGAATACGGAACAATGTAATGTGTAAAAAATCATATTTCTCTTTGTATTACACTTTTAAAAGGAGAAAACAGTCTCATCAGTCTATCTTGCTAAACAATATTTTTTTTATTGAGTGGTTCGTCCGCCCAGGAATTGTCATATCGTAGAATGGTATGAAGAACAGAAAATGATTTGGAAGTAAGCGGTCATGGCATAACCGAAATATATCTCAATAATTCCTAAATGGACTGAATAGAACCACGGAACCCCAATATCATGTGTCTTGGCCGATATTTGAGCCGGACACCTGAGTACAACTTCAGAACTTTAACATTGCATCAATTTACTCTGCACATTTTGGGTAAAACGAAACCCATTCTCAATAACTTGAAAGCTTCCTGGAAGACAGATATATTTATATTACAACACTGCATGTGTTTGCATAATAAACCGTTCTGTGTTGTTACTGAACACACCCTGTGAGTATTTTACTTACAGCTGTAGAGGCTTTGGTTTCCCTAGTTCGTAGATTCTCGATAACAGGCTCAGAAAACCGAAATGTGTCCTCCCAGGCACAACAGCTTGTTCCTCATCCTCCTTTAAGAAGAAGAATTTTCTACTGTTACATTTGAAGATATTTTTGTTTTCGTTGTTGCTGGCGATAGTGGTATTGCTCTTACAATTTATTGGGTATCTGTCAGTTGCTCATTTACCCTTGTACTTAGCAATGCGTTCAGAAGATTTGAACGGGGAATCAGAGGACAAGTAATAAATAATAAACTAAATAAAGTGGATGGAAGTGGCAGTGATATATTGTTTGTAGAGCAGCATTTGTATCCAGACACTGAGAACTGCCTCAGATGGTACATCAAGGGTACCAGCTAAGACTTGAAACAAGCACAATACGAATAAAAATCTACGGCTTTACTGCTGCAAGAACCTGCTCGAGAAAGATTTATCGTTGTATCATGTTCATCGCAGTGTACATCTCGAATCTCAGTGACTCGTTCAGTTTGAACTGAATGATTGACAAAGGGACAGACAAACGTTTGTTGGGATTCTGAGGAAATATTTCTGTCCTTTGTTGCCTGTGAACTGGGCCTATATTTTATTTACTTACGGTCGCCCCTGTGTCCACATTTCTCACTGACTTCCACAGAAAGATCCTTCGTTGGAAGTTTGGAATTGAATTGTTGAGCATCCAAGCAGGACAACGCAAAACCTGATGACATAAGATTATGATGTCATTACATTCTCAACTGTTGGAATTATGGGTGTTTTATATACTCGTATATATTCTTTTACATATTCAATCTCTAGGTGATTGCCTGGAGAGGCGGAGGAGATCCATGAAAAGCCCTGAGTCACGACTGCAGGTGTCTCAGCATAGATTCAAACTGAGTATCTTCCAGATAAACGTAACTAAATTTACCGTTGTACCACCATGGTCAGTTAATTTATGTTAGAATTTGTGGGCCAGATTTCCCAGGGGTGTTTTATGGGGATGAACCAATGGCATTGGAATGCTGCATGGACTTATAAACACATTCAACATATTGTGACATGACACCTGAGAGCCGGAATATCGGAGCCAGAGTAGACGTTCTTTGCTATGCAATGATTCGGTAAATAGCTTCCCGTGACAACGAATACGTAGGCAACAATCAAAGTACTGTTTGGCTATAATGACGGAAACGGCGTTTTTGTTGGACATGTCCCAAGGCTACATAACAAGGATCCTGGACTAATTGTAATTATAATTAAGAGAGTCTCTGGTGATGACAGCCGAAAGATTATAGAGGAGTTGACAAGAAAGGAATTAGGATGTGACAAGAAGATTTCATGTGTGCTGCAGTGACAGTGAGACTGGTATAATTGCTGTGTTGAAATCCGTTGCCAGGATACGACTAGTGAAGACTGAGAATCCCAGCGCGTGAGTAAAGGTAAACTGGAAAATGTGTAGAACAGCGATAGCGCTGTAAATCTAAATCCTGTCTGTCACACCCTCTAAACATGGAACAATATATTAATCCCATAAAAATGTCCACACGCCCTGAGATGCGCTGAAATAAAACCAGCACATTTCACTTAAATCTCGTCTTCAACATTCTAATTGGTATTTGGGCCTGATCATGACACTTCAGAGCAGTTTCATGCCACCCATTTTAGAACCTCATGCTGTGTGACTGTGAGCATGGTACATCCAGTTCGTGTAAATACATAACACGATGTAGCCGCATAAGGCGCGGCATCATTGTTAAGTAACTAATGGGTTGAGCTTCTCACTATGAACAATACTGTTATCTGGGGTATGACATGTTAAGTTTCTTACATTGCATCCGACGTTTCAGAGGGGATAATACCTAAAATCATCAAGGTAAGTGACTACATTAGTTTTAACCCTGATATTGAGTATTACATTAATAGGAATGGGGTATATATTTCTACTAAATTAGGTTCGGTATGTCCCAAAACTTGAACAACTTGCCAATTCACAGATTTTTGAGAGGAAAGTTCAGCATTTCCTTAATAATTAAGATAACCTACCAGGACACATGGTGTCATCTCCATGGTGATAATATGAAAATTCATGGCAATGAAGAAACTAAATATGTTACGATTTGCTACTCTTTTTCTATATAAATATAGGCTGAACTCTTGGACACAAAACTGGACAAAGTGACCTCTGTCAGGACTCTGAGGAAAAGGTTCATTAAGCTGTTACTTTGGATTTCACTCAGTGACTGGTTTACATACCTGAGCCTCAATGTTTCCAATTCTTCGTGCCACTGTTTGTTGCTCGCTGTTAGCCAAAAGTGGTGCGCAGGTAAAGAAGTGAAAAATCTGCCCAAAGAAAAAAATATTAACGTTATTAGTAGTGGTAGTGGGGTTCATAATTATTTGCATAAATATTACACGTTAACATATTATGTATATTTTGATTTACATAGTAACATGGAATTTTCCTCACACCCGGAGTACTACGCGTCCAATAATTCGGTGAACAATGATTAATAAAGTAGACGGGAATATGACAGAGGCTTCCATGACATCTATTCAGGAATTCACCTCGAGATAGCTAAGAAATCCAAGGAAAGCTTCAGTAAAGACAGCAGGAGTTTCAGCTAATGTCGACAAGAGAACTTCTCGATTAGATGTAAGAAATGTTATGGCCCCCATTAAAAGTTCCCTCTGGGATTTAGAGGTTGAAGAAATTGCTTCCAAATGTTGCAAGGACAAAAACATTGGACTGATGTTTAGGAGGAAATTGCTACATCGAATATGAACGAAACTCTACCAGATCACACGGTGTCATAAACCAGGTAATGACAGTGTGGATCTTCATCGCGATTAAGAAACTAAGTCTCATATAAGGTGAGGCTCTTTTTTTAGACCCGTGCAGTCAGAATTATAGGTTCGTCTGTCATGATTCTGATGAAGTTTTTCCCGTCCCTCTGGTTTTGACTAACTCGCATTATGACTGTTTCTCTTACCCTTATTGCAACATTTCTGGTTCCGTCTGTCACAGACTTAAAGCCGCTCTTCAAGCGCTGAAGTAAATTTAGACTACTGAAGCCACTGATCTGTCCACAGACATGAATATTCAATTATTACATTTACTTATATTGGCAGTGTTGAGAGGATAATTGCATGTTTTATTATTTACACTACACTTAGTTAGTTAGTTAGTTAATTAGTTAGTTAGTTAGTTAGTTATTGGAGAGGGTGGGTTTCCCCATGCACTGAGACCTGTATTGGTCCATTGTGCTTCCCTCTATGATTTCTACCAGTCTCTATATCCTACTGGTACTGGTACTTACCATCAGTCCCGCCCAGCCAGCGAGACCGGCTCTACTAGCTGAGAGGTATCTATAATGCTTCCCCCATCTACCAGAGGTATTAGAGACTGCTGTTGGGTGGGAAACGTCCATTAATTTGGCTCAGTGACCTCCTTTGGAGATATGAGGTTCTTTTACGTGCCATAAAGCTACGACACGGGACCCACGGCTTAAAGTCCCTCCCGGAGGACTTGTTCCCTGAATTTTTCCGCCCTTAAAAATGGGTTGCCCTACAAAATGTAGCACTCCAGGTCACTTGCACATTCAAAGCTGACCTCTAGGATAAGGCAACGGTTCTCGAGGAAGATCAAAGAAGAATATTTTATTTACATTTTGTCTCTCAGATTCAAAATGGCATTTGGATCTGAGCATTGTACTTTCGCGCCGTAACGTGTGACGGGTGAAAGTGGACATGATTCCATGAGCTCGTGTAAATACACACCAGGGTGTAGTAGTAGAGGAAGACATGTGACAATTATGAACAGCTGGAGAACGAGGATCTGGGCTTCCCATCGCGGTCACTAATAACAAAATTATTATGAAGGCTAACATCAGACAGTTGTAAGCTAGATAACAGACTTATTGACTCGGATATCTACAGAAATAATCAATTTATTACTATGAGCTGCGGGTCGCCGTGTCCCAGAATGGCTCACTTAATGTATGGCTTAACATGTCTCAAAATTTGTATAAAATTTGTATAATGGAGATCAAATGCACAACATTTGAAACACGTGTTACTGATGATTAACATTTCGCACGATCATGACCTCGTTCCAAAGTCTTCTACCTCAGGAAGTTCATCCGTCACAATAAAAGAGGTTATTTTTCAGGTGTACCATATCTCACCTGGCCACTGTGTCAGTGAGGTCCCTGCAAAAGCCTGAACATCCTTGTACCTGTCAGGATTGTGTTCCTGTTCATGTAATGGCGCTGTCTGCAAGTCATGCTACAGACTAGAGCGTCCAATAGGGAGCCAGGAATGTAATGGCATCCCTGTGCTTCATTAAATAATCACTGCGTCACCAGGATGCACAGAAGATTTAGCCCTGATGTCTTTAACCCAAACAAAAGAGCCCATTTGCTGCAGGACAGGTATGGCAGCTGCCTCGCTGGGAACTGAACCAGTCTGTAATCGAAGCTGTACTGACTGAGCTATCAGAACTCCTGCTGAATTTATGGATAAGCCCCAGCATTTGCCTGCATGTACCGAAGAAGTTAATGGGAACGAAGATAGCCACATTGTGGCGCTAAGGGTTAGCCACCAATCTGTCCGGAATTTGTTTGCTGATGTTTGGGAGGAAATCAATGCATCGAACTTGAACGATATCCTGACACGTCACATGCTATCAGAATGCAGATAACGGCAGTGTGAGCCTTCATCGGAATTTAGGAACTAGGTCTAGTATTAAGTGTGACTCTTTCTAGACCCGGGAAGTCAGAATTATAGGTTCGACAAAGGGACTCAAGGGTTTCTGCTGGGAATTTAACAAAGGTTTTGTTGTACCTCTTGTCTTGGCTAATTCAAGGAGTGTTTGTTTCACTTACCCATTTTGCAGCGTTTCTGGTTCGGTCTGCAGTAGTCCTGACGCACCTCCTCAAGCGTTGAAGTATCTGTCGCCTCAAATAGCCACGAACCTGTTCACAGATCACAGTATTCTGTTATTACGTTTACTAACATTGGTCATGATTCTAAGATAATTACTTGCTTCTTTATTTTCATGACACTTTCATGTATTGTATTTATTTTAATCTACATAACAAGGCCATTAACTCATAAGAAGTGCATCACTCTTCCTATTAAAGGTTCCACAAATAATAGTGACTTAGAATTTATTCAGAAAGAGGTCGCCATGACGTAATGTGAGATTCTGTGATGGGAATTGCCTGGAGAGCCACGAAGTTCTTGAATCAAAACAGTATCACGTCCGGCACCGATTTGAAATCAGCAGTGACCCTATACAAGAGAGCAGCTTTACTGCTGCATCAAAATACACGTATTTGCAAGTCTATGCCAAAACACATGGAATATATCGCTCGCCAGAGGTTTTAATCTGTTGGACCAGTGGCGTCGACCTACTGGAAAAGACTAAAACACATTCAACATGTATTCAGTTCCGATATATATTTCCACCACTTTGACTCACTGATATCATGTCAGGACATCTCTTTACTGGCGTTACAATCCTGTACCCACATTATCCTTGTGCCCAGAACCAAACATGGAGGACCACAGTCTACACTTCGTCAGGCCCCTACACTCTGGCCAGTCTGGCACTGATACCTCTACCAGGAGTTTGAGCTCCCCCCCGGGTTACTCGGAGGTTCAAAGCCCCTCTCCACTACAAGACGACAATAAGAGAGGAGGAACAAATCACCATATTTTACTTAATTATGATCTCTGGTTCCAAAAATTAATCCGCCCTGTGCATGGTCATTTCACACCATAAGGGAAACCCCCATTCTACAAACACATGTCAAGTGAGAGTGATTGTGATTCTTTCAGCACGTGCACATACCCAATAACTTGAAGCTCTACAAGACAAGGTGTCACAATGATATACATATGGAGAACTAGACAACTAGCTTCTCAATGCGGTTGCGGTGATACTGTTTTTACTTACCCGTTTTGCAGTGCGCCTGGTACAGCCCGCCGCAGTGCTAAGGTCGTCTTTCAAGTGAGGAAGTACTTCTTGTCTATTAAGGCCACCGACCTGGTGACAGATGAAAATATGCAGTTATTAGATGTACTGACATCATTAGTGGTGCGTTGATAATTACCTTCTTCCTAATTTACAGTGCACTTACATAATGTTTATGTCGATTTTGGAGATCAAATTAATCCCCTGATATATTTCGAGTGTTGTACATGACAAATTGCGGAAGTGACAGCAGAGAAAAGATTCGGAATGCCAAAAATATTTTATAAAAAAGACTTATCCTAAAATTTAGATCTATAACCCATCACTGGAAGCAGACAAACGGAAATCATATAATCTTGTAGCTGAGAGTCCTTCTGATATAAGGACTTCACCAAAAACAGGGCAACAAGATCTATTTTTGCCGGAGGAAAGTTCTAAAAACATCCATATCTTTGGATCTGTTCAGCGAGAGAAAGTTTCACCTTCCACTCAAGTTTCTTCATTTTTTTGTGGTCAACGTCTTGGAACAAAGTACATCTGTGAAACGGAGAAACGTCTGGCCGTCGACACAAAATTTAATTAAATGAGCCAAGGTCATTTGCAACAACTGGTTTATTTCCATAGCGTAACTGAGCAGAAGAAATACAAAACGTCCACATAATAAGTACATACCATATTGCATAGTAATAATACTGTGACATATGGATCGTTTCTACAGCAATAGAGGAATGTCCGGAAACATTCTCACGGCAACGAACACAGTGAACATCAGAAAAACTGCCGTTTCTATGCGAAGGCCGGTGAACACCTCCCTCTTATGAACGTGACAACAATATAGGGGAACCTGTTTCTTCTGTGCGGTCCACGCCAAGCAAACGCCTGTTGCCAGGCAACGAAGCTGTAAACATGCATCTTTAACAAAAGAAGGGGGTGTTTTCGGTGGGGTCCGTGCAGAGGGGTTATGTTGAAGACAATCGGCCCAAATGGGGTTCGACACCAAGACTTACTGACTGACTGACCGTCAGTCGCAATGTAACTCTGACTCTGACTCTGACTACGGGTCAGTCAGTTCCCGGTAGGAAATAGCCATGGGAAGTTCGTAGTAGATGAAGAATTAGACGTCTGCCTGCGAAGAATTAACGTCTGATTTGAAGATTTATGAGTGCAGTGTATTTAAGAGTTAGTTGCAAGAGTGCGGTTGTGAAGAGGAGACTTTATATGTGATACTTGGAGTGTGTAATTCAGCGAGACCATTATAGCTCGCGTGCTGAAATGCGTTACAAGGATACGACTCGTTTGTGCGTAAAAGCGAGAGCGCTGTAATTGCTGGTGGTACCGCGCGTTAGTCACTGAAGCACGTGACAATACTTATATGTACGATGATACATCCTGGAAGACATACGGAAGAACTAGGAATACTGGACCAATCTTTATAAGAACGCACCCTCGGTCACAATACTGCTCGACCTGCACACATATTGCATGCATTCACTTAACTACAGACGTATTTGTAGAACTATCTGACGACGGTCCCGTGATGACCGAAACATGTAGTAGCCACTGAAATAAACCAATTGTTCAGAGTCACCTTGGTTTATTTAAGTAAATATTGTTGTGTCGACGCCGTCGACTCGACGGCCAAATATTTCTCATTAATTATGATATACAACACGATGCATACAAGGAAGACAACTGCGAGGGCTGTTTGGTGGTGCTTTATGTTGCAGGCTGTTTCCGTTGCCGTGTTGCGGCCGACTTCTGAAGTTTCAACAAGTGACTAAGAAGTGTGTGAATTAAAATTTTAGCGGTTGGAAAACGTACTGTGGGCTAGTACTGAAAACTACACCACAATAATAAAAACCTTTACAACATGTGCCACTGGAGTTGCAACAATGTTTCTGGTGGTAAAATCGTTTTAGTGATGATGTCATAGTCTGTACAAGATATTTCCTTCGCGAGCAGGTGATCCTGACCAGTCATATGGAATGTCATACGCTTCTTTGAACTGAATTAGCTGCGTGATATGAATATGAAAACAGACGCGAAAAGATGTCAAGTTAAATTCTGCTGTTGCTTCGTCAAGAGCTGCTAAAGTATATTACGAAGTAATGACATGAATGTCGCCATGCTGGGTATCACTGAATGCACAGAAATTCTCTTCCATAAGTTTGTCTACTCAAGGTGTGACGTATTCTCAAGAGACTATTTACATACATTTTACCATTGAGGGAAGTCATGCTAAGACTGATATCATCTGTGTATCGGCAGAAGTTCGTTCATGTTTCGAAGGAAAACATTGCTTCCATTTTCAGGGTCAGGAAGTAAGCCAAGCAAGAAATCAAAGTGATGCAAGTATAAAATAGATCCTACTTCACACTGGTTTCCTTCTTCGGTTATTCATCGACCCTGAAGATGAAGGCGACATATTCCTCCGAAACGTCGGTTGATATTCAACGCACTACGCAGCTGTTAGTCCCGAAATATCGAACTATATAAACATTTTAGAATTTCAGTAATGAAGAAATTACAGTCATTCGTTTTATGGATCGTTATATCTGGTTACAATCATCAAGTACGAGACATTATTGCTACTTGTGTCACGGATCCTAAGATGAGGGCGAATTTCAACTTCTATGACAAATGAGAACGATCTTGAACCCCAGGTACCAGTATTTTGTGGATATTAAATTGATTTGTAAAAAGACGTCTGACGTCTTAATTATTTCGGAATGGTCTCAGAGAAATGTTCCCACTTTCATCAAGGGACTGATCCTCTTCCCACGCCAGTGTGGTCCAATCCATATCATATCTTAAAATAACAAAGCCTGATCCCTTGGCGAATTCGGCTACCACTAATGTCACTGAGAAAAAGAATCGTGCCACCAAGTCCAGAGATGGCGAGTGCGCGCATACATCACAGTTACCTGGGTGATGAGCACTGAACGCTTATAAAATGTACGCGGCAAGTGAACCGTCAAGGCACCACAAGCAGTGCCAAACACTTGTGTATTTACGTGTTTTTTTATAAGTTTGTACTCAAATTCAAGGAGTTTCAAATTAAATCCGATTCATTCCGAAAGTTTCATCTGATGCAACGAATCGTTGCGTATCCGGGGGCAGTGCATGAGCACACAGCTAAACAGAGGTCGCAAACCCTTGACATACAAGGAGCGAACGCCACAGAAAACTCTTCTCTCTTCACATCACTTCTAATTGCTGAACCAGTTAGTATTTCAGATGTACCTATGGCCTATAAGTTGTAATATTAAATTAGTGATCACCTTATAAAAGTTAATCTTCTTAATAAGCCTCTTAATAAGTCTCACACGATGTACCGTATTTACGCATGTATACGCCGCGTGCGTGTATAGGCCGCAGCACAATTTTCAGACAGAAATTATACAAAAAATAATTTTCTTGGAATATTATTTCAGGAGTAGAACGCCCTGTATTACTAATTATGAATATAATTTTTTTTAAATGAAGTGTGATTTCGAATATAAGCCGCACCCCAGTTTTCCTCTTGAATTTTTGGCAAAATATGTGCGGCCTATACATGCGTAAATACGGTATATACATATACACGACTACATAATCACACTTGGGAGACAGGGGCTTCGCAAATCTACCACCGTCTCTGTTTAATTACCTTTTTGGAATTGATTTTGAGACCTCTGAACCGCCTGCTGGTTCCCTGCACTTGTGGGCCAGATGAACAGCCTTCCATTGCTGCTAAATTAAACTACTTTTCACTTTAAATGACACCGTCTTCTTTCTTCTAAGTCTGGAATATAAATACACGTCGTTACTTTAGAAACCACGAAATGGGAACATTTTCGTCGAAAGAGGTCAATATCCCAGCAACGACGGAATTTCAACAGCTTTCGCATGGAAACAGGGAAGCGAAGCTGACATAACAAACGTCTTCAAACCTATGAGAAAAAGGTGTCATTGCTTTTATAATAATTATTATCTGTGTGGCCGGCCATTGAAAAAATGCACAATTCTAATAAGAGACAAGTTGAAACTCACTGACAATCCTCGCAATTGCACTGTAGAGCTCTGATGTGTGTATTACCTAGCTACTGTGTCCATCGTCTGTTTGATAGGACTGATCTCAACATTACAGGCAACATCATCGTTTGTTTCCACGGATTTACTTAACAATGCGGCTGAAAGCGTGGAACAGCTGCTAGGCAACTACTCAGTAAACCCAATTTCTTGGCAAATAATAAGCACGCAATAATAGATGAACTATGGGAAGCTGTTGATATAAACAAGGCACAGTGCAGCTCCTCGTGTTGTTCCTGGTGTAACCGTCCATATTTCATGTCCTTCGACTGCTACTCGACATGTTTCGGTCTCACCAGGATCTTCGGCAGGTGTGTACGTCGTTGCACACAAACTGTAACACTGTTGGCACATTGAAAAAGCGCTACGTACAAAATTAGTTATATTTCAATGTGATGAAAATGTTAAAAAGATATAAAAATTAAACAGTTAAAAAATAAAATGTAATTCAAAATCAAAAATTAAAAAGGTGGGTCCCTTGCTCTGTTTGTTCTGCGTGTTTGTTCACGTTTGGTACCGTCGCGTCTCTTTTGTGTGTGTGTGGACTGTTAACTGTTTAACTTTTTTATTATTTAAAATTCTTCAAATTGTTGAGCACAATGAAAACAATTAATTTTATGCCTAGCGCATGGTCAGTGTACTAACAGTGAAACAGTTTACGTGCAACAAGATACACACCTGACGATGGTCCTGGTGAGACCGAAACATGTCGCATAGCAGTGGTAGGACATAAAAAAATGAGCGTTGATCCAGGAGCCTCAAGGAGAGCTGCACTGAATCCTGTATTTATGTATATATATCAAGTGATAACAATACTACTCTCGAAGCGGTGTTTTCTGTGCAGTCCGTGTTGGAACTATATAAAGAGGACCAACCGGCCAAGTTAGGTGTGTCTGTGAGTGTGTGTGTGTGTGAAAGGGCCAGCCAGTCAGTGAGTGGACGCTCGAGTCNTGGTGGGGTCCAGCGTTTTATGTGTGGGACCTCTGCGCCCCCCCCCCCCCCCCCAATATTGGGGGAGTGACCAGTTGTAGTCCAACCCCTCCTCTCACTGCTCATTGCGTAAAGTTCTTGGAGAAAGCAAAAATATGGTCATGGGTACCGATGGGACCGCAAACCAGGGCGAGGGTCAGCAACAATTTTACCAATAAAAAAAATAATTGAGCCATTCTTCCTCCTGCGAGGACTTTGTCATGGAATTAGAGGAATCTCCGTTGTTAGACGCCGCTTCCTAGCAACGATTAATGAAGACACAGAATACTGTGACAGGATATGACCATTTGCTAGGCAACGGCTAAGTAAAAATAGTTTTCGTTACAACGGATAGCAGCAAACAAATCGTTGCCAGGTAACCAGTTGTAAACACTCAGAAACCGAGCCTTTGCTTGAGAATGAATGCATGGATTCCGACACAAAGCATTCTCGAAGAGCAGAACAGAACGCTTGGAGGTTCTCATGTGAGTCGTGGGAGGCGACGAAAAGGGAAGTCTCAATTCTGAGACAGTAAAATATGGTCGCAAGTCCCAAGGGACTCAGACCCGAGAAAGACTGCGCTGGCAAGGCCCAATAGCATATACAAAAGACAGACCCGTCCTCTCGTCAGAGAAGGCGTCCCACAGAAACAAGACCGTAACTGTCAAACGGTAATAATTAATACCTGGTAATGAGCCCCATTTGGGTGAGAGAGTAAAATATGGTCGCCAGTCCCAANAGAATTACTGACTGACTGACCGTCAGTCGCAATGTGACTTTGACTGAGAGAATAAAATATGGTTGCGAGTCCCACGGGACTCGGACCAGAGAAAGGCCGCGCCGGCAAGGGCCAGCAGCATGTACAAAAGACAGACCCGTCCTCTCGTCAGAGAGGGCGCCGACAAAAAACAAGACCGTAACTGTCTGACAGTAATAAAAATCTGACCGTAAGCCCCAGATGGGTGCTTTATGCCATGACAGAGTGGCCGACTGACTGTCGGTCGTAAAATGAGACTCAGACTCAGCAGGAGAGTGGAGAGAGCCGTAGAAGGAAAAGGAGAACGAAGAGAGGCCTCGGCGGTCAAGATTGGTTGTGTGCTGTAAAGAAGTGCCAATAAATCCAATCACTGAATCCAGAACACATTATTACTAGACTGTGTAGATAAATGAATTTGTAGCTACAAAGTACAAGCGTTAAATAAATGCAATTACCAATACAAATCCCGTATCTAGTCACTAACACGTTACAGTATGCGTCAACGTAAGAATTGTAGAGTTCTACCCCCTGGAACATAATGTCATAGAGTTCTATTTTCTTTCAGCTTCAAGCTAGATAGATTCTTTGTTTTGCTTGACTTAATCTTTGACCCTGAAGATGGATTCAGTACATTTGCGTTATAGGCTGTCCCAGAAGAGAAAACTAATCATAGCCCTCGCTGTGAGAACTGACTCCAACATTGGAGGCGATTTATGTGGGAAATATCCGACTTGCAAGTCTCGTATCCTAGAGCCCAAATCACATATCATAAGTAATACTACACTGGTTACTGATACACGTAGTTAAAAATACGGCAATATATATTTGCAGTGTTCCGTCGGTTTCCATATCTCCAAGCCATAATCAACACCCGTTTCCATGGCAGTTTCCAGCGCATATTTGGCCTCTGAGGGTGGTCCAGCTAATGCTCTTGGTGATGTCTACGGACTGGAACCTTTCGGAATGCCGTGCCTTAACTCAGACGGTTAGTCCGTGGCGGCCGGGTTCTATCCCAGGTCATGTCATCTGTGGCACTTGGACAGGTTTACTCCGAGTGCTTCGTGTTACGCCGGTCATTTCGCATTCCAACAAATGCTCTATACTCATCTATCATTCGCGGCCGGTATAACAGAACCCATTTTGGCCGATATACGAACCGGACTCAGTCTCAACCCATCCCACGCAACATAAGGGACAAAAATTAACTGCCTGGAATGAGGAGCGCCCAGATTCATTTCAGCGCTGTGTGTGAGAGGTCGCAATGCACTGTGGGTTAGAAGCAGACGGAGTGCGGACTCTCGTGTTTATCACTGATGGGATTATACTGGCTTATGTAGCGTACTTTGGGGTTATCAGTAGTCTGATATTTGGTACATAATTTCCTGGCTATCTTATTACAGGTTTTTGAATGTTCCTTCGTATTGTCACGTGTATTAGTGACTATAGACGGGGTTTGGTTTGCAGAATAGATTCATTGACCACATACAGGTTTTAACTACAGAGAACTATAACACTATTGCTGAGTTCCACACTACGGATCACTCCATCCTCTTCTCAGTCTGCTTTCATTAGTCGTTGCTTGGTAACAGCTCTCATCAATGGCCATTCCTCTGCAAAGTTTTCACTAGGCATTTTCTGGTAACGAATCTTAGCGATGGAAATTCTTCAATTTCTGTGCTCACGTCGTGACTGACCGGTGAATATCCCACAACTGAACTCACTCACTATTTACTGAGTCTGAGTCTTATGTTATGGCCGACGGCCATTCGGCCAGTAAAAAAAAAATTATCCCTGTAACAGGCCATGGAGGCCCATAGGGTTGTGAGACGTCGAGGGTCCCACATTATCTAGACAATCGGCTCACAGATGGCGGTAGGGTTGTAAGCCTTAAGCGCCGGCAGCCTTTTACCCCAGGAAGATTCCTAGTGCTCATTTCTGTTAGAGGCTGAGTCAGCCCCAGGGCCATAGTGAGGCTGGAAAGATTAGGGCAACCAACTACGCTACCGCGTGCCCCCATTCGGCCATTATGCCTTGGAATAAAACATTCATCTGGGGCTTACAACCAGATTTTTGTTACTGTCATACAGATGTGGGTTCTTTGATGTGGGGCGCTCTCTCTGACGAGATGACGGGTATTTCGTTTACAATTGCCGCTGGTCCTCGCCAGCGCAGTCATTTTCGGGTACGAGTTCAGTAGGACTTCTGATAAAATTTTACTGTCTCAAATTCGAGACTTCCTCTTTCGTCGCCTCCTACTACTCGCAGGGCTACGGTGGAGGTATTCGACCACGCCACCACACGGGAACTCTTTATCAACTGACGCTGTCCCTTGCTTATAGCATCTTAGCATGGACCACGCAGAAAAGCCACGTTTCTAACAATACTACGAATGTTGCATACGTATTCGTTGCCGCGGGAAGTGTTTACCGAGCCGTTGCCTAGAAACAGCTCTGGTATATTTACTTATCTCGCAGTCGTTGCATAGCAACGGTTCTATACATGCCACAGTAAATTGTTAGGGACAGTTTTATGATAGACACTGCCCTCGGTCGTTGCAATCTATAGCTTATAAGTACATTTTTTGATAATAATGTTTTCTTTATGGAAGTACGTGGATGGAAGTACATTGGTTAATAAAACTGTGCACAGAAATAGTCCTTATTGGCCACTGTTTGCTTCACGGATACTGCCAAACTTGCGAAAAGTTAGTTTCTGCGGTTTCAATGCAAAACCTACTTTATAGTAATTACAACAAATACACAATTATTTTGGTTCCTACGTATTCACTAGACGCTACATAGTAACGAACCTTAACAACGAAAGTTAACCAGCTTCTGCGTTCACGTCTTTACTCTTCGAGCACCAGATAGCGACTAGCTCGAAAATTTAAATGCTCTTCAATAATTAAAAAACTGAAGAGTTGACAGTCCACACACACAACAGCGACGTGACGATACCGAGAAATACACAAGCACACAGGATCAACAGAGCATGTACGTGACAGTAAGAGGCCCGCCACAGCACACGACCTTCTAATTACTAATTTCTAATTAATTTTTATTTCTTGATTGCTTAACTATACATATATATATTTTTTTATTATTATTTTGAATATGAATAGCATGGAGAACTTCGGTGAAGCCTTGTTTATATCATCCGCTTCCAACAGTTCTATTATTGCGTGTGTATCCGCTGCCCCGAAAATAAGTTTACTGAACCGTTACGTAGCAACGGCTCCCTCCTTCAGTTCCACTATTCCGGCATTCAGCCGTCATCTCAAAATGTTATAGTTCTTGACGGTAAGGCAGAAATACATATGTCATTCTGCTTAATTAATTACGTACCACGAAATAAGGTCGCAATAGGGAATGACTCGCCTTTTCCTCGTAGGTTTAAAGACGTTTTGTTATGTCAGCTTCGCTTCCCTGTTTCCATGCGAAAGCTGTTGAAATTCCGTCGTTGCTGGGATATTGACCTCTTTCGACGAAAATGTTACCATTTCGTGGTTTCTAAGGTAACGGCGTGTATTTATATTCCAGACTTAGAAGAAAGAAGACGGTGTCATTTAAAGTGAAAAGAAGCAGTTTAATTTAGCAGCAATGGAAGGCTGTTCATCTGGCCCACAAGTGCAGGGAAAAAGCAGGCAGTTCCGAGGTTTCAAAACCAAGTCAAAAAAGGTAATTAAACAGAGACGGTGGTAGATTTGCGAAGCCCCTCTCTCCCAAGTATGATTATATAGTCGTATATATGTATATACATCGCGTGAGACTTATATTAAGATGATTAACTTTTATAACGTGATCACTGATTTAATATTACAACTTATAGGCCATAGGTACATCTGAAATACTAACTGGTTCAGCAATTAGAAGTGATGTGAAGAGAGAAGAGTTTTCTGTGGCGTTCGCTCCTTGTATGTCAAGGGTTTGCGACCTCTGTTTAGCTGTGTGCTCATGCACTGCCCCCGGGTACGCAACGATTCGTTGCATCAGATGAAACTTTCGGAATGAATCGGATTTAATTTGAAACTCCTTGAATCTGATTACAAACTTATAAAAAAACACGTAAATACACAAGTCATTGGCACTGTTTGTGGTGCCTTGACGGTTCACTTGCCGCGTACATTTCATAAGCGTTCAGTGCTCATCACCCGGGTAACTGTGATGTATGCGCGCGCACTCGCCATCTCTCGACTTGGCTGGGGGATCGGCTGGCACGATTCTTTTTCTCAGTGACATTAGTGGTAGCCGAATTCGCCAAGGGATCAGGCTTTGTTATTTTAAGATATGATATGGATTGGACCACACTGGCGTGGGAAGAGGATCAGTCCCTTGATGAAAGTGGGAACATTTCTCTGAGACCATTCCGAAATAATTAAGACGTCAGACGTCTTTTTACAAATCAATTTAATATCCACAAAATACTGGTACCTGGGTTCAAGATCGTTCTCATTTCTGTCACAGAAGTTGAAATTCGCCCTCATCTTAGGATCCGTGACACAAGTAGCAATAATGGTTCGTACTTAATGATTGTAACCAGATATAACGATACACAAAACGAATGACTGTAATTTCAAGACAACTGCCTTCACACAATTTCACATTACGTCATGGTCGCCTCCTTCAGAATCAATTCTAATTCATTATTAACAGTTCACACTCTCTTCGGACGAGTTATTATGGGTTGATAACTTCGTTATTAAATAGACTAAACTGAAATCAAGTTTATATAAGTGTTCTGTACATACAAACGCAAGTAATTATCATGACACCACTAATAGCAACAACAACTCTAACAGGAAGGCCGCGCCATAGCTCAAGCGGTTAGTCGCTGGCTTCCCATCGCGGCGGCCCGGGTTCGATCCCGGGTCTGGTCAAGTGGGATTTGTGGTGGACAAAGTGGCGCTGGGGCAGGTTTTCTCCGAGTACTTCGGGTTCCCCTGCCAATCTTCATTCCACCAATTGCTCCACAATCACCCTCACCTATCATCTGGGGCTGGTACAATAGGCCAGAATTGGCCGCAGTACAAGGGACTTAGTCCCACCCCACTAGCAATAAAAAAAAGTCTAACAGAACATTCACGTCTGTGAACAGGTCGGGCGCTACTGTAGACGAAAAGTGTATCCTCGCTTGAAGACTGGCTCCAAAACTGCGGCAGCTAAAACGAAAAGAACTGCAATACGAGTAAGTACACGGCAAGTTTGTCAAAACCAGAGGGAAGGAAGAAACCTCGTCAGAAGTCTCTCAGACCCGCCTGGCTTAACTTTAATACTAACTGTACGTGTACAGAAAGACTGGCTTTTCAGTCGGACCGAAGCTTCACAATGTTGTCTAGGCTATGACACCATGTAACGTGGTAGGATATCATTCAAGTTCGATGCGTTGATTTGCTCCCATCATCAGTACACAAATTCCAGACAACCCAATTCCTAACCTTCGGTGCCACAATATGTATTGCCGCGTGTTGTCTATGTCACGCGACAAATAACTTCAAGCAGAACTCGGATTTGGCGAATGTTTATTGGGCACTCGCTTTTACACTTACGCAATTCACAGCTCTCGGTCAAGTGTTCTCGGCGACTGCTAGACTTGAACTAACTCGTCTGTCAAAGTCAAAGTCACATTGCGACTGATGGTCAGTCAGTCTGTCTGTCTTGGTGTCGAGCCCCGACTGGGGCTCATGACCAGATCTGTTTTTTCCTTATATGAAAATTACTGTCCTGTTCATTTGGGGCGCCCTCTCTCACGAGAGGTCGGGTCTCTCATTTGTCAGTCATAGCCTGTATTAGTAAGCCCACTGTCAGTATTTACATATATTTACAAATTTAATCTTAATTCCTATTTCTATGTATAATATATACAAGGCCTCTGTCAGTCCAGGCTCGGTACAGCAGATTATGCCCTATTTCTAGTAGTATTCGCTACCACGGCAGTCTAGTCACTTGAACGGTCGTATGCCTGACCGCCGCCAAGTTTAAGCCTCTTATACTTTCTGTGTCGGGCTTCGCCTTGTCCGATGTTGCGAACATTCTCATTTGCATGATTTTGTATGCCTTCTGCTTGTTTCCTGCATAATTTTGTTATACAGTCATAAACGTACGAGATTTTAAATGCCATGTGCAAATCGCGGACCGGTGTGCGCCTTGGATTGTCAATGGTGCGGAGAACCTTGTTTTGCAGGCGCTGCAATTTCACTAGATGGGTGTCTGCCGCGACTGCAAAACAGGTACATTGAACCCCCTTACATAGGCCTCTCGCGGACCACAAAGAAAACAGCGTACAGTGTTGGAACGTGTTTACCGACCGATTGTGTAGCAACGGTCGCGGCACGGACTCCATACAAAACGCCGCACTCCCATTGTTGCCTTGCGTGTATTCGGTCTCGAGGCGCTTCGGTCAGTTACCTAGCAACGCTGTTTCCATTTACGTTACAGTACCTTCGACACAAAGCGAGCCTCGAAGTTCGAAACACATCTCTCCCAGTACTCCAAGTAAACGAGCAGGTCCTTCTAGCGTTAAAAACTGTGAAAGTCTTTGTTAATTATATCGTTTGACAGAATCCTCGCGGCATCCGAGAGCAAAACATCTCTGCAGCAGATCCTTTCCTCTATGACAGAGCGCTGCTCTCCTTTGCGTGTCGCTATTCTTAATATGAAAGAGCTAGTCTAAGCTGCGAGGTGTCGAAGACAACGGGTCAGGGTACTTGCTTGAGAAGAGACGTAAAAGTACATTTCCCTCGGAATTATTTCAACATCCGCCAACCCTGTCTTTAAACTCGGTGTATCTGCCAAGAAACACACAGACTGTTCCCGATGCTGTGATTATGTTAACCGTAGTTAGAACGAATTTTTTCGGGCGGTTCTTTCAACGACAAAGCTCTAAATGTGTACAAAGGGTGTAGTTGATCTGAATTTCTGCTAGGATTCTGACTATACTCACCGAGGATTCCCATTATATTTTTGGGCAAACAGAAAAATAACGAGACATAGCCTTGAATTCGGCAAGCGTCTCGATACCTTAGTCGGCATAGCTACAGCTAAGGGCAGAATGGCCTTTCTTCGATTCTCGGCAGAGCAAGAATTTCTTCTTCTCCACAAAGTCCAGGTCACCCTTCTTTTTAACGTAGAATTCGGGAAGAAAGAATAAATTTGTTTTCATGAAAGTAAGATAGGACAGAAATTTGCTCCCTAATGTCTATTTACATGTATGGATATTATACGTTCCAACCGAGGCCGCGTCACAGCTCAAGCAGTTAGTCACTGGCTTCCCACCGCGGCGGCCCGGGTTCGATCCCGGGTCTGGTCAAGTGGGTTTTGTGGTGGACAAAGTGGCGCTGGGGTAGGTTTTCTCCGCGTACTTCGGTTTCCCTTGCCAATGTTCATTCCACCAAATTCTCCACCATAATAATCACCCGGGGTAGGTACAGTAGGCCAAGCAGTGGCCGCCGTGCCGAGTGGACCCAACTGGACTCCACCCCCCACTATATGTTCCAAACACTACATGATAGTGTTCTTAATACTCACTGTGGTTAGAAGCATAAATTCTAGTTTTCCAGTTATATATCACGGTAACACGTGACACATATCAATACCGTGTACTGTGTTTACAAGAGCTCATGGCATAATGGCCACTCTCAATCGACATGTGTTTATAAAACGGTTGTCTTTTCTGGCGTGAAATTGTATGGTGGAGAGCAGTTTTCAAGGCCCCAGTTACACGGAGATTTTTCTGGAGGCAGCAAGATCACTTTGTTGAGAACTCAAAACGTTGGGGCGAGACAAAGTATAGTCCTTGGTTCTTTAATATTGGTGCTGGGTATGAGACTATGGAAGACACTCAGGAAAACTGTACTCTTAAATAATCGTGGAGGAGGAAAACACTGAACACAGTGTAGCGCCAGTAAAGGTAGACTTGAAAGGATTCTGACGATGGTGTATACTGTACTTCTTTTGGCTTGTTTTGGATTTCATCGTATGGTATGTAAAAGATAAAAGAGCACGACGTTTCGGAGATTGGACGGGCTCAACTGAGTAGGCTTATCCTTCCCCACCCACCTGAAGACGGAGACAGATCCAGTCTCCGAAACGTCGTGGTCTTTTGTCTTTTACATACCAGACGATGAAGTCCAAAACAAGCCAAAAGAAGTTCGGCAGTAAAGGGTTATATTGATAACTTACGAGTGCGTCCAAACTGTAAATGTGCATAAGGGAAATGAATACGTGTCAAATGTGATTCATTTTCTGCAATAAGTGGACGCCACTGGTTTAGCCGTGTAAAAATGCTAGCGTGAAATATATTACATGTAATTTGGTGTAACTCTGTAGATTTTGGTGGCAGAACTACACTCGAATGTTTATTACACGGACGGTGTTAATTTTGAATCTATGCCAGAAGTAACACTGTTTCCACTCAGCAAATTCCTGGCTTTATAGGCAACTGCGGTCGCAGAATTTGAGTGTGCCACAGCCACATATTCCAGAATCATTTCTAGTTCACTATTATTTCTTCTGACTGTCATCGGACGGGTGACTTATTATGACTTTGAAGTTTAGTTATATTCACATTAAACAGAAATTAATTGTATGTAAGTGAACAGTAAATAACAAGGCAAGTTTTATCATGGCACCACTACTAATATCAATAAGTGCAACACAATATTCACGTCTGTTGACAGTTTGGTGGCTACTGTAAGGAAGAAGTGTACCCGTGCGTGAAGAGCGGCCTTAGCACTGCGGCAGCCAAAACAAAAACCACTGGAATAAAGGTAAGCAGAACAACCACAATTAGAGTTAATCAGAACCAGACTGAGTACAAAACTTCGTCAGAATCCTGAAAGAAACGTCTGTCCCTCTTCCGAACCTGTAATTCTGACCGCACATGTCTAGATACGCGGTCACACTTTATTTGACTCTTGGTTTCTCAAATGTTTTTAAGTTTCAAACTCTTATTAATCAGATGATGACACTGTCACGTGGCAGGGTATCGGTCAAGTTCGATGAAGTGATTTACTTCCAAATATCAGAACACAAATGCGAGACAACCTAGAGGCTAAACCTCGTATACAAAATATTTGAATCTTCTTTCAAGGTTAGCCTCGTTCGAGGGATCATAAAATGAGTCTCCCTTACGGCGTGAATGCACAATCCTCAGGTCCAAATACAGTTTGTAATATGGAAAAATATGCTGAGTTGATCCTGCTCGAATTCTAGCGCCATATCGTGTAGGGCAGCTTAAAACTCCCCATTTTCTTGGAGGTAGCCTAAACTCCTGGTAGGACAACCCATGCAGCACAAGTCAAAACACGAGGGTCGCACGAAATATAGTCCCCAGTTCTATATCTTGAGTGCTGGGTGTGAGGTTAACGAAAACACCACGGAAAAGTTACACTTAAGGGAAAATGGAGGAGTCCAAGACCGGAACAGGATTGAAACGTCACTAAAGAGAATATTGACACGATATCAGGGCGTCCAAGTGGTGGAAATATAGGCTATATCGGAACTGAATACATGTTGAATGTGTTTTAGTCTCTTCCACTAGGTGGGCGCCACTGGTTCAACTGCTTGAAACTCCTAGCGAAAAATATACTCCATGTGATTGTGCAAACACTTTAAAATATTTTGGCGCAGCGGTAAACCTCCTTTCTTGCGCAGGATTTGGAATACATGCCGGATGTAATACTCAATTCATTCACGTAGTTCGTGAATTTCCAAGCAAATGCCGTCAGAGAATTTTACGTTATGTTTAACTGTTCGCACTCATCGGACGAGTGACAATCTTCATATTCGTTGTGGCACTGTCACTATACAAACTAAACATAAATCACGTGTATGTGAGTGCACTGTGGATAAGAAGGCAAGTAATTATCATGGCACCAACACCTACATAAGTGAATTTTATAACAGAATATTCACGTCTGTTGACAGTTTGGTGGCGTCTGTAAGCGAAAAGTGTACCCGTGCGTGAAGAGCGGCCTTAGCACTGCGGCAGCCAAAACCAAAAGCACTGGAATAAAGGTAAGCAGAACAACCACAATTAGAGTTAAGCAGAACCGGAAGGAGTACAAAACTTCGTCAGAATCCTGAAAGAAACGTCTGTCCCTCTTTCGAACCTGTAATTCTGACTGCACATGTCTAGACAGACCGCCACACTTTATTTGACTCTTGTTTCCTCAAATGCGAACAAGATTCGAACTGCTACTCATCGTATGATGACACCGTGTCACGCGTGTTTTGCCCCAGGTTATTAATGGGTATGATTTTATTTAACAAGGGATTGATTTTATGTTTAATTTATTAGAAAATATCTAAAGTTTTATAAACTGAAATACGTTAGGTGAACCACAGGTTGGCCGGTCCGAAACCATGTAAAGATCACCTTCAGACGTAGCACGTTCTGCAGCCAACCGGTTTCAGTTGTAGAGTTTATGGAAATTGCTCACAAATAGGATGAACGACAGAAGCAAGTCTCGCTTTCGCACTGTGGGCAGGCTATGGGCCAGGAGGCATCTACCGATTTTAGGATTTTGAATGAACAGAATTTTTATGATGTTGAATTTTGGGGGTTCGGACAGGAGAAGCCGCCAGTACTCTGATTTTGGGAGTCGCTCAGAACAGTCGTGAGGTAGGAAAGAGACGGGATGGCGTCAGATGTGAACACTGTCAACCACTTTTGTAAGCGTGAGGACCTTCCTGTGTGTGGATCACTGACAGCTGTCAATATATAATTCTGGTTCAATGATTTTGGTTGGTCAATGAAATTTTAAGATAAAATTGATTAAATGATCTTAACGTATAAACTTTGGAATGTAAAAGATTAATTTTGATTTATTGGGTGATTATGAGAATGTACAGATTTTGATTTATTAAGTGATGAGTAAGATGCAAGAATTTGGTTTGGCACTCATAATTAAATTTAGGACGTAACATTTTATTCTCTAGTTGATTGTTGAAAATGCCTCTTTTGACTCGCTGATTGAGTGTAACGATGGAGAATACGATTTATTGAAGTTAAGGGATGAAATGTGGTTCACTAATCGATGGTTAGCGTACGAACTTTGGGTTAATGTTAAGATATAAATTCTGGTTAGCGAATGATGGTTATTTGGTTCGCTGCTGTTATATGATAACCATGGTTTACAGATTATAGGATATACAATTTGGTTTGTGTTATGAAGGGTTGGAAGATCATGGGTAGTCAATTTCAAGAAGTTAAAGTAGAGTGTATAATAGCAGACAGTGTATGTTAAGAGGGTGGTATATATGTACTTGTTGATTTTATTATATTTGTTCTCGTTTTCATATAATGAGTGTTTATTACTGTATTAACAATAATTAATTCATTGGGCGAAATATAAGCGATCTGATGACAATTAGATGAAATATTCTAAAGTTTGATGGTGGCAGCGTTGGAATAAAAATGAGAACTTTGGGTGCCACCCCCGCATTCGTAGTAATGAATTGGTCGAAAGGACTGCGGAACAATAATTTGATGGCAGAGGTGAGATATAATAAGAATTTTTGTGTCGCAATTTTGGTCACAAAACACGTAGTAGGGTACCGATCAAGTTCGATGAAGCGATTTCCTTCGAAATATCAGTACACAGATGAAAGACAACCTAGAGGCTAAACTTCGAAAACAAAATATTTTAATCTTCCTGCAAGGAGAGCCTCAGAATTCGATACACTTTTCATCCACCATTCCAAGGACACGAGCCTTTCTTACCCGTGTTAAATGCTGGGAAAGGCTTTGTTATTTATATCGTTTGACAACACATCAACTGTGCTCGGAAGCAGCGAACTCTGCAGAGGATCCTCCCTCCTATACGAGAACGCTGCCCTCCTTTATGCATCCACATACGAAAGCAAGTTTTATCATGGCACCACTACCAATATCAATACGTGTAACACAATATTCACGTCTGTTGACAGTTTGGTGGCTTCTGTAAGCGAAAAGTGTACCCGCGCGTGAAGAGCGGCCTTAGCACTGCGGCAGCCAAAACCAAAACCACTGGAATAAAGGTAAGCAGAACAACCACAATTAGAGTTAAGCAGAACCGGAGGGAGTTCAAAACTTCGTCAGAATCCTGAAAGAAACGTCTGTCCCTCTTTCGAACCTGTAATTCTGACTGCACATGTCTAGATAGACAGCCACACTTTGACTCTTGTATTCTCAAATATTTTCAAGGTTCAAACTTGATTAATCAGATGATGACACTGTCACGTGGTAGGGTATCGGTCAAGTTCGATGAAGTGATTTCCTTACAAACATCGATACACAAATGGGAGAAAAACTAGAGGCTACACCTCGAAGACAAAATATTTGAATCTTCCTGCAAGGGGAGCCTCAAAATTCGATACGCATCTCTTCCACCATTCCAAGGACTCGAGCCATTCATACCCGTGTTAACTACAGGGAAACACTTTGTTATTTATGTTATCTGACAGCCCCGTTCTACCACTCCGTCCGGTTGTCGGCGGGGAAGAATTTTCCTCACTTCACTAAATATAAATCACGTGTATGTGGGTGTACTGCAAATAAGAAGGCAAGTAATTATCATGGCACCAACACCTATGTAAGTGAATTTTATAACACAATATTCACGTCTGTTGACAGTTTGGTGGCTACTGCAAGGAAGAAGTGTACCCGCGCGTGAAGAGCGGCCTTAGCACTGCGGCAGCCAAAACAAAAACCACTGGAATAAAGGTAAGCAGAACAACCACAATTAGAGTTAATCAGAACCAGAAGGAGTTAAAAACTTCGTCAGAATCCTGAAAGAAACGTCTGTCCCTCTTTCGAACCCGTAATTCTGACTGCACATGTCTAGATACGCGGCCACACTTTATTTGACTCTTGGTTTCTCAAATGTTTTCAAGGTTCAAACTTGATTAATCAGATGATGACACTGTCACGTGGCAGGGTATCGGTCAAGTTCGATGAAGTGATTTCCTTCCAAACATCAGTACACAAATGCGAGACAACCCTCTCACTAAACTTCGAAGATAAAAAATTTGAACTTTCCTGCGAGGGGAGCCTTGTTCGAGGGCTCATAAAATGAGTCTCCCTTACGGCGTGAACGCACAAACCTCAGGTCCAAATAGAGCTTATAATATAGAAAAATATGCTGAGTTGATCCTGCTCGAATTCTAGCGCCATATCGTGTAGGGCAGCTTACAGCTCCCCATTTACTCGAAGGTAGCCTAAACTCCTGGTAGGACAACCCATGCCGCACAAGTCAAAACACGAGGGTCACACGAAATATAGTCCCCAGTTCTATATCTTGAGTGCTGGGTGTGAGGGTAACGAAAACACCACGGAAAATTTACACTTAAGGAAAAATGGAGGAGTCCAAGACCGAAACAGGATTGAAGCGTCACTAAAGAGACTATTGACACGATATCAGGGCGTCCAAGTGGTGGAAATATAGGCTATATCGGAACTGAATACGATAAATGATATAATGATACAAATTCCGTCCCAAGTGCAAACAATATATTATGTGTCCTTGATCTTGTTCCTCTACACTACATGTTTCGGCCTCAGACGGCCATCATCAGGTGTATAACACTCACGTCGCTGTCACACTGCACCCAGTTCAAAGTTTAACATTTAAAACATTTTTCTTGTTATTATCAACATCTACTTCGTTGATATCTGTCTGGATGTAGATTATTTTACACACGTTAATTTTGACGTACCTGTAGTAGCACTATAAAATCTTTAGTTCTAATTTTAAAATCTTTTAAAATTTTTTTTTCTCTAAATTTTAAATTTAAAATTGTTAGGGTTACTCGCCCTATGTCTAAAGTGCTGCAGCGGCTAGTTCTTGTTTCCACACTGTATAGGTGTTATCCTGTGTAGTCTTCCTGTGTGCGTGCCGCTGTTATTCTTTACTACGTGTGTATACATGTTGAATGTGTTTTAGTCTCTTCCACTAGGTGGGCGACACTGGTTCAACCGCCTGAAACTCCAAGCGAAAAATATACTCCACGTGATTGCGCAAACACATTAAAATATTTTGGCGCAGCGGTAAACCTCCTTTCTTGCGCAGGATTTGGAATACATGCCGGATGTAATACTCAATTCATTCACGTAGTTCGTGAATTTCCAAGCAAATGCCGTCAGAGAATTTTATGTTATGTTTAATTGTTCGCACTCATCGGACGAGTGACAATCTTCATATTCGTTGTGGCACTGTCACTATACAAACTAAATATAAATCACTTGTATGTGAGTGTACTGTGAATAAGAAGGCAAGTAATTATCATGGCACCAACACCTATGTAAGTGAATTTTATAACACAATATTCACGTCTGTTGACAGTTTGGTGGCTATTGTAAGGAAGAAGTGTACCCGCGCGTGAAGAGCGGCCTTAGCACTGCGGCAGCCAAAACCAAAAGCACTGGAATAAAGGTAAGCAGAACATCCACAATTAGAGATAATCAGAACCAGAAGGAGTACAAAACTTCGTCAGAATCCTGAAAGAAACGTCAGTCCCCTTGTCGATCCTGCAACTCTAATTGCATGTGCGTAGATGCACAGCCACACTTTGTTCCTCAATCGCGGTGAAGGTTCAAACTGTCATATTTGGGTTATGACACCGTCTGACCTGGCAAGTCATCGATTAATTTCGATGCAACGATTTCCTCCCAAACATCAGTACACGAATTTCATACAACCCAGTGGCTAAATTTGCAGCAAACCGAGCCTCAGATTCCTATCAACCACTCTCTTGACACTCCAAGCACACGAGTCGTTCCTGTGCGTGTTAACTACTGGGAAAGGCTTTCTTATTTACATGGTTTGACAACCCCCACCCCTCAGTGTCCAGGGAACCTTTAGCTTTTCCCTTGAATTTCGCATGAAAAATTCATATTTGTCACGCAGCATATTTCACTGTTTCACACTGAACGCTGTGGTCTGCGGTATGACCTACAGACAGCACCATTAAATCAACTAAAATCCATCAATCTCGAATAGAAGAAGACTAAGGCTCCTGCAGGGACCTCACTCACACACTGACCATGTGACGCATGGTACACCAGGAAGATAAGCGCTTTTACTGTGACGGATCGTGTCCAATGTCCAGCTGCGGTACACTACTTTAAAACTTTAAATATTGTATCTCCTTGATTCACACCAATTCATTTCACAATTCTTCAGACGTGGTAAGATTTATATTAAGTGAGCAACCCTGTTTTCCTGGGAAGTTCAGCCCCGCCAATCATAGCAATACAAGTATATACAGCATTCCGATGAAAGATGGACTGATCCATTTCTGAGTCAAGAAATATCTTTTTTTATCGAGTAAGTAATTTAGGGCACCACCTTGCTCCGTAACGTCCGTTAATGTACGGATGTTATTGGCGTTATGCCCCACACAGTAGTGTCTAGTAGCGACCGCATTGGGAAGCTAATCGTCCAGTTCTTCATCTATATATCATTGTGACAGCTAGTCTGGTAGAGCTTCAACTTATTGGGTATGTACACGTGCTGAAAGAATCACAATCATTCTCACTAGACATGTGTTTGTAGAATGGGGGTTTCCCTTATGGTGTGAAAGGATCATGCTCAGGGTCAAATACAGTTTAGAATCAGAAACATACAATTTAAGTGAAATATGCTGGGTTGACCGTCCTCGAGGTCTACCGCAGTATCGTGGTGTTTGGCTTCGAAAGCCCCAGTTACTTGGAGGGAGCGTAAACTGCTCGTAGTGCAACCCGAAACAATCAATTCAAAACGCAGTGGCGAGACCATCTACATTTTGGGTGTTGAGAATGATGCTAAAAAACACACCTCGCAAAAATTTCCTGTTAACAGACCATGGAGCAGACCAAGACCGACTCGCGGTGTTATCACCAGTAGAGACGTACTGATACGACATCAGTTCATGCAGATGGCGGAAATAAATACATGTTGAATGTGTCTCAATTGGTTGAGGCACTATGCTACACGCCGGAAGGTCCTGAGTTCGAGTCCCTATGTATTGGATTTTTTTTTAATTGACCTAATCCTTCCAGGCACACTATGGCCCTGGGGTAGACTCAACCTCTAACAGAAATGAATACCAGAAATCTTTCTGGGGGTAAAGGGCGGCCGGCGCGTAAGGCTTACAACCTCATCGCCATCTATAAGCCGACTGCCTAGAGAAAATGTGGAAGCCTCGACGTCTCACAGTTCTATGGACCTTCACGGCCTGTTACAGGGACAGGTTTAACTTTTTAGCATATATTTCAATTGTTTACAGTCTGTGTACGCCACTGGTTCAACAGCTTAAAACTCCTAGCGTGCAATATATCCCACGAGCTTCGGCATACACCTGCAAACATATTGGACCAGCAGTAACTTTCCTCCCTTGTATACGGACAATACTCATTTCGAATCTTTGCCGAGTGTGATATTGTTCCCATTCAGGCACTTCGTGGCTCTCCAGGAATTCCCATCACAGAATCCCATATTACGTCATGGCTGCATCTTTCTGAATCTATTCTAATTCATATTGACTGTTCACACTCTGTATTGACTAGTGATTCTTTATGAACTAAACACTTCGTTATTAACTAGACTAAACTGAAATCAGTAATATGTAAGTGTAGCGCAAATAAGAAGGCAAGTAATTATCATGGCACCAACACCTATGTAAGTGAATTTTATAACACAATATTCACGTCTGTTGACAGTTTGGTGGCTACTGTAAGGAAGAAGTGTACCCGCGCGTGAAGAGTGGCCTTAGCACTGCGGCAGGCAAAACCAAAACCACTGGAATAAAGGTAAGCAGAACAACCACAATTAGAGTTAAGCAGAACCGGAAGGAGTTCAAAAGTTCGTCAGAATCCTGAAAGAAACGTCTGTCCCTCTTTCGAACATGTAATTCTGACTGCACATGTCTAGATAGACAGCCACACTTTATTTGACTCCTGTATTCTCAAATGTTTTCAAGGTTCAAACTCCTATTAATCAGATGATGACACTGTCACGTAGCAGGGTATCGGTCAAGTTGGATGAAGTGATTTCCGTCCAATATCAGTAAACAGATGCGAGACAACTCAGTGGGAAACTCAAAAATGCAATATGGTTCTTTACTGCACACCGAAATTTAAAATTCAAACCCATCTCTCCTAACACTGCATGCACACAAGTTGTTCCTTCCCGTGTTAATTACAGGGAAAGGTTTTGTTACTGCTGTCATCTGACAGCCCCGTTCTACTACTCCGTTCGGCTGTCGGCGGGGAAGGTTTTCTTCGCTTCACAGAGTCCAGGGCAGCATCCCTTTAACTGAGAACTGGGCATGAAACCTTTATATTTCTTATATAGTCCATGTCATTATTCCTTACTGCAACCCTGTGCTTGGATACAACCATATGCAGACATATGCAGGAACCTCCCTCACACAGTGACAGGTTAAGTACGTCACAACATAAGGATAACCGCTTATATTGTGACGGGTCTTTGGAATGTGGGTCGGGAGCCTGTCTAATGGTAAGCTTCGGTACAACAGTTTAAAACATTAAAAATTGTCTTTCTGATTCACACTAAGTTCTTGCTCAAATTTGAGACGTGTGAAGACGTACGAGAGGTTTGGCCCCCAGCTCATAACAATATATGGAGCATCAAGAGGAGAGGGTTGGTTCCACAGCCCACTCAATAACTTTCTTATCGAGCAAGCAAATTAGGGCAGCGACTTGCTCCGTAACGGCCGCTTAAATGTATGGATATTATCGGCTTGAAGCCCCACGCAACAGAGTTCTGAACACTGACCGTGGTGAGAAGTCCAAAACTTTGTTCTCCAGTTACATTTCACGGTGATACGTCGTCCTATACATCAACACATTCCTGCGTAATTACATGAGCTCATAGTCAGGCTCACTCACCCCAAGTGGTTCATAAAATGAGTCTCCCTTATGGCGTGGACGCACAATCCTCAGGTCCAAATAGAGCTTGTAATATGAATAAATATGCTGAGTGGATCCTGCTCGAATTCTAGCGCCATATCGTGTAGGGCAGCTTACAACTCCCCAGTTTCTTGGAGGTAGCCTCAACTCCTGGTAGGACAACCCATGCCGCACAAGTCAAAACAAGAGGATCAGACGAACTATTGTCTCTAGTGCTCTATGTTGAGTGCTGGGTGTGAGGTTAACGAAAACACCACGGAAAATTTACACTTAAGGAACAATGGAGGAGTCCAAGACCGAAACAGGATTGAAGCGTCACTAAAGAGAATATTGACACGATATCAGGGCGTCCAAGTGGTGGAAATATAGGCTATATCGGAACTGAATACATGTTGAATGTGTTTTAGTCTCTTCCAGTGCGTGGGCGCCACCGGTTCAACCGCTTAAAACTCCTAGCCTAAAATATATTCCACGTGATTGTGCAAACATATTAAAGTATTTTGGCGTAGCGGTAAAACCTCCTTTATTGCGCAGGATTTGGAATACATGCCGGATGTAATACTCAATTCATTCACGTAGTTCGTGAATTTCCAAGCAAATGCCGTCAGAGAATTTTATGTTATGTTTAACTGTTCGCACTCATCGGACGAGTGACAATCTTCATATTCGTTGCGGCTCTCACTATACAAACTAAATATAAATCACGTGTATGTGAGTGCACTGCAAATAACAAGGCAAGTAATTATCATGGCACCAACACCTATGTAAGTGAATTTTATAACACAATATTCACGTCTGTTGACAGTTTGGTGGCTACTGCAAGGAAGAAGTGTACCCGCGCGTGAAGAGCGGCCTTAGCACTGCGGCAGCCAAAACCAAAAGCACTGGAATAAAGGTAAGCAGAACAACCACAATTAGAGTTAAGCAGAACCGGAAGGAGTTCAAAACTTCGTCAGAATTCTGAAAGAAACGTCTGTCCCTCTTTAGAACCTGTAATTCTGACTGCACATGTCTAGACAGACCGCCACACTTTATTTGACTTGTTTCCTCAAATGTTTTCAAGTTTCGAACTCTTATTAATCAGATGATGACACTGCCACGTGGCAGGGTATCGGTCAAGTTGGATGAAGTGATTTCCTTCCAAACATCAGTACACAAATGCGAGACAACCTAGAGGCTAAACCTCGTATACAAATTACAGTAGAACTTGGTTATAACGTCATCAAAGGGACCTAAAAATAGTGTCGTTATAAACGAATGTCGTAACCGAAATGGGCACTTCCACAGTAGCCTTATGTTAGTCACGTAAAAATCTACCAAAAACCGAGTTAAAATGTTGCATTTTTTAGTGAAATACGTAGTTAAGTACAGACTAACGTAACATTAACGTGGAATTAATATGCATTCTCCATATCATTTGTACTGTAGAATTCACCAAACCAAATTCGCGCGCATACATCAGCTTTTTTCCGTCATTTTCTATTTCACGAATCACTTTAACATTCTCTTCAATGCTTAAAACTTTCCTTTTCATTACCATGTTTTCGCTACTGCACTTCTCTGGGTTTAGGCAGGAACACTATAGGGTAAGTAGACAATGTGAGGTCCTGTTAGACGAGATTCTAGGAAAGGAATGCAATTAACAACCTGCCGCGTCCTCTTGCACTATTCACGCAGTCCCACCCCACACCCTTGTTTTCGCATAAAACCCACGCTCCTCTTGCAGCCCGCGGTCGTATACTTCCAGGACAGTCACGTCAGCAAGCAGAGAAAGTGAGGGTGGGCAGACACATCGAACTTTCCCACGATATCAGAGAAATTCAGGAATGAAAATGACGTTACATACGAGGTTGATGCATTTGTGCTTGTCGTACTAAGCAAGGTATGAAAACAGTTGTTTTATGAGGAATTAGTTCGTACCATTGAATATTTGACGCAATAGACAAGGTGGCGCAGAAACCGATGTTGCTATAACCAGTTTTACTGTATTTGAATCTTCTTTCAAGGTTAGCCTCGTTCGAAGGCTCATAAAATGAGTCTCCCTTACGGCGTGAACGCACAATCCTCAGGTCCAAATAGAGCTTGTAATATAAAAATATGCTGAGTGGATCCTGCTCGAATTCCAGCGCCATATCGTGTAGGGCAGCTTACAACTCCCCATTTATTCGAAGGTAGCCTAAACTCCTGGTAAGACAACCCATGCCGCACAAGTCAAAACACGAGGATCAGATGAAATATAGTCCCCAGTTCTATATCTTGAGTGCTGGGTGTGAGGTTAACGAAAACACCACGGAAAATTTACACTTAAGGAACAATGGAGGAGTCCAAGACCGAAACAGGATTGAAGCGTCACTAAAGAGAATATTGACACGATATCAGGGCGTCCAAGTGGTGGAAATATAGGCTATATCGGAACTGAATACATGTTGAATGTGTTTTAGTCTCTTCCACTAGGTGGGCGCCACTGGTTCAACTGCTTGAAACTCCTAGCGAAAAATATGCTCCATGTGATTGTGCAAACACTTTAAAATATTTTGGCGCAGCGGTAAACCTGCTTTCTTGCGCAGGATTTGGAATACATGCCGGATGTAATACTCAATTCATTCACGTAGTTCGTGAATTTCCAAGCAAATGCTGTCAGAGAATTTTATGTTATGTTTAACTGTTCGCACTCATCGGACGAGTGACAATCTTCATATTCGTTGTGGCACTGTCACTACACAAACTAAATATAAATCACGTGTATGTGAGTGTACTGTGAATAAGAAGGCAAGTAATTATCATGGCACCAACACCTATGTAAGTGAATTTTATAACACAATATTCACGTCTGTTGACAGTTTGGTGGCTTCTGTAAGCGAAAAGTGTACCCGCGCGTGAAGAGCGGCCTTAGCACCGCGGCAGCCAAAACCAAAAGCACTGGAATAAAGGTAAGCAGAACAACCACAATTAGAGTTAATCAGAACCAGAGGAAAGGGAAAATCTTAATCAGGATCCTGACAGAAGCCTCTCAGCCCCATTGTCAAATCTTTAATTGTGACTGCACATGTCTAGGAAAAACCACGCTTGATATGAGACTTTGTTTGTTAATCGCGATGAAGGTTCACAATGTCGTTATCGGGATGACACCGTGTGACCTGGAAGGGTATCGTTCATGTTCGAGGCACTGATTTTCTTTCAGGCATCAGTGTACAAATACCAGGCAATCCGTTGTGCAGCCTTCGGAACCACTATAACGATCTTCATTTCAAAGCGAACCCAAAAATACAAAGAAAGCATTCTCCCAACACTCCACGCACCCGAGCCGTTCCTTCCTGTGTTAACCAGCGGGAAAGGCTTTGTTATTGACATCGTTTCACAATACCCTCACCGCACTCGAGAGTAAAACAGAGTATAACAGAGCGCTGCTACCCTCCTCCTGAGTTCTGTCCGTGAGGTTCTAATTTCTGTCCTCACCGAGGTTTCCCACTGTCTTCCTGCGTATAGGAAAACTGGGATAACACCTCGAATTCGGCATGAACCCACACAAACTCCAACTGCCCATTTCTTTACTCTTTAATTTAGCTGAAGTGCCATGCGCAGACCCAATTTCTAATCAGAATCATAAAGATGTAATTTAAATAAGAAATACTCATTTGAATTGAGTGCAACCAGTTGGTAAAAATAAATATGAAATTAATATATTTTGGATGCAAAAATGAGGACGCAAGTCTTTCAGCTCCTAATAACAAACTTAGTACAAAATATTAAACATGCTTTTAGCATATACGTGCTGAACCTTCTAATCGTCTTCGTTCGTTGCCCACCGCTGAATGTTTCTTTCTCTGCTCGTCTTTGTTGGTAGGGCGCCACTTACGCGTGTTGTCGTCCCGTCTCTGGCTACGGGAGCTGCTGCTGGTGGGTTGCAGCTACAGCCTGCTTAACTCTCTTCGCCCATCAATTGGCAGGTTCTCGCTCGGATGGGGGAATGGGAACTCTCGATACTACCCACATAGCACTTGTTCACAGAGCCATTTTGCTGCGAAGCTTGTCACTGGTGAACACCTCTAATCAACTAGATTATACTTGGTTTTTTTTTTATTTAGGAATCGTACTGGTTCCTGTAGAAGTATTTGAACAGCTTGCTTAAGTCTCCAACTATATTTCGGAGATACTAAATGTTACTCTAAGCTGAATCAGTACTCAGTTGGTATTTCCACTCACTGTTCCTATACACTAACACTAACTTAACAGAATTTATAGTCACACTTACGGAGATACAGATTTTGCGTCTCAACAACTGGTGAGCTGGAATACAACTAACTTAACAGAATGACTACTGTTTACTATATTATATTTAAGCATCCTGTTGCACTCTACACTTCTTTATGTATAATATAAATACCGTCGTAAATGCAACAGTTTATTTGTAGTTCTTTGTATTTCTTCTTTTACAAATTTAAAATTTAATTTTTTTTAATTACGTGCAGTGTGACAGCTACGTAAGTGAAAATACAGCTGATGATGGCCACTTACGGCCGAAACATGTAATGTAAAAGAAGAAAGACAAAGAACTACAAATAAATTGTTGCATTTACGTACGTATTTATTTTTACATATTAACAGAATGACTTCTCCTCAAAACTCGAAGTCCTGACCGCTTCGTATCGGTCCACAAGTCAGCTCCTTAAGTTTCGAGGGTTCGTTAAATTCGAAAAAGAGGAGTTTACTTCATTTGCTATTCCTCCAACCAGTTCCAAAATTCAAGGGAATTTAATCTCTAAAGACCCAACGTGATGGATACCAGCCGTAGCGTGGGCTCTGGGCCTTCTCACTTTTGACTTATGGTGTCCTGGACCTGTCAGAGATCGCATTCCCAAAGAATTCCGACGAGCAAATTTTGAGTAGAATTTCTAGGAAAATGTTGTAGGGGTCCTTCCTGTCTCCCTTTGTAGCTATGTAACGAGCCGCTTTCTTAAATTAAAAAATCGGACTATACCACCATTTTCGCGGCGCCATAGCTCAAGCGGTTAGTCGCTGGCTTCCCACCGCGGCGGCCCGGGTTCGATCCCGGGTCTTATAAAGTGGGATTTGTGGTGGACAAAGTGGCGCTGGGGCGGGTTTTCTCCGAGGACTTCGGTTTCCCCTGCCAATCTTCATTCCACCAATTGCTCCATCATCATAATCACCCGGGGCAGGCTACAATAGGCTAATCAGTAGCCGCCGTGCCGAATGGACTCAGCTGGACTCACCCCCCCCCCCAGTATGCGAAAGCTGCCGTCTTGAGAGTAAGAACTGGCCTATGTCCCTCTTGGATAATTATTGTTCATACCAGTAAATATCATCTAACAAGGTCATTAACACTAGTAAATACATGTTATTAATTTAACACCTGAGATGGGGTTGACAGCACGGTTACAACCTGTTCGCGCAGGCGTAATATTCCTTACGTTTAATCGGACAATGCTCGGCGCAAATACGTAACGGAACCCCTGCTGTCTCGACTCAGATTTTTGCTGATATCTTCAGTCTGTAAGGCAAATGCTTGGATTAGTTCTTCCATTATATCACGGCCGCCTCTTTCCGAATCCTTTATCATTCACAGCCCATCCTGTAGATTCCCTTTCTGTAACTCAACAGTCTCGTTCTTAAACAGACCGAAACTGAATCAGCAGCGTATAGCAGACATGGAAGCAATTGACTTCCACTGCATAGCTTCCGAGAGCAGTAAATGTTATAACAGAATATTCACGTCTGCGAACAGGTCGGTGACTACTGCAAGGAAGAAGTGTACCCGCGCGTGAGGAGCGGCCTTAGCACTGCGGTAGCCCGAACCAGGAGCACTGAAACACGGGTAAGTGAAACAACTACGCCACGAGTTCAAAAGCAAGAAACTAACTACTTCCCTCAGTCCGATACTATTTCTTCTTCTTCGTGAACATAAGCATGGCTAAAGGCGTTCTTGTTCTTGGCGTCTTTTCCTCGGGTTTCCAGCGTCCCTGGGCCGGATACTGATCCTGATCTAGTCCAGCTAAGGAGATTCCTTTCATTTTTACAACAGATCCAACCAGCTCATTTTATGTAAATTTACGTTTTCTACTAATCTGTTCAGTGAATTGGGGTAGCAGTCGGTATAGCGACTGCCTACGGGCTGGAAGACCGAGGGGTCGGAGTTCGAGAATCGGCAGAGTCAGAATTTTCTTTTCTCCATATCGTTCAGACCGGCTCTGGGCTCACCCAGCCTCCTATAGAATGGGTATCGGGGGATATTTCCCCGGAGGTAAAGCGGCAGGGGCGTGAAGCTGACCACTCAGTTCCAGCTAGTGCCGAGGTCAAGAAAATGTGGAACCACACACCCACTCCCACAAACGCCTTCATGGCACAGTTTACAGTTCATCAGTTTGTTCACTTTTAACTTATTACGAATGCCAAAATTTCTCTGGCGGTCCAATCTTGTAAGGATTAATATATTTTCAGGAATGTCATTTGTTCAGTTTCAAGCTTTGGGGCGTCTATCTTTTTTGTAATGCATTTTCACTGTCGTATCACAAAGCCGCTTCAGAAGTTCGTAACTTCTCTCTGTCGTCATTGTTGCCCAATGTCACTTTCACGTCTACCATTTTTTTTATATTACAATTGTAGCTTTATAGTAACTAAGAAACTTGTTCCATAATTTTTCTTCAATTTCTATTTTGACATTTTTTACGTTTTTTTCTCACAGAATCTCATTGCTTTTGTTCCTGAAGGGGATATTTTCATGTCATAGGTCTTGATAACTTTAGTCAGATCATGTTCTGCTATTTGTAACTTGTCATATGATTATGCTATTCTAACTTGATTACTCGCATCTATCGTTTGACTTCTCTCCCCAAAGATCCATCGGATTCCATTTCTAGTGGTTTGTTTCCATTCACTTACAGCTTTATTAATGTAAATTTTAAAAAAGTTTGGTGATAATCCATAATCTCTCTAGCTCATTTGTTGGTTTTGTATAGTTATGAGCAAGGCCCGGATTTTGAGCGCCTATTGTCCGACAGCACATTCTTGTACTTGGAGAAACTCCTTTCCACATCTGCAGACACAATGGGAGCGTACTTGAAGTGTACCAAATCACTAGCAGCAAGTTCCTCTTCAATACTGAAAGCGCTTAAGGACTCTCCTGACAGAATTTGAGAAGTGCCGCATAATGTTTCATAACCTAAGATTTTACCTAGAATAGTTTTCATTTTTCTTGACACCATTTTACCAATGTCCCCTGACACTTGCTTCAAATCACTGGCTATTTTCTTCACCAGAGCAAGTGAATCTTCTAGCGTTGCTCCTTTCTACTGTAAGCATTTTATTCCTTCATTAAGGAACTGAAATTTACCTTTATGAAGGCCAGCTGTCCTTCCATTTTGCTTCACGATAACTGTTCCTGAGCAGCTTCAATTATGCTCGCTTCTATCTTCATTGACTATACAATGTTTTTCACTACCTAAAAATGATAGCAATAGTAAACTGTAGCATCAATCCACGTTCCCCACCTTGTGATGACGGGTTCCGGGTGCAGTGGAACACCAGGAGTCATAGATTTAAATTGTATTTTACGAGCTGGAGCCTTGACGAAAACAAGTCTAAAAACGAACTTTACTAAGGAAGCACAACAGCATAAATACCAACATGTTTATTTATTATAAATATTCACTGTACAGAAATCATGTTAGTTTCAACAACACTTTCCGACTAGACTGTGGCAGCGACAATTTCCTAGAGATGTATAAGGGTGGTTGTGGCTTCGCATCTCTGTCCTGACCGATGGTTTCTATTAGTTTCCTCGGTCCCTGCCTCAAATTATTGCACCAATACCTTGAATTTCCTTATTCTGTCACACTTTCTGTTTCATTTCTCATAATTTTATGCTGCATTCTGCAGCCTGAGTTGCAGACTGCGTCCTTGAGTAAACCGAAAAAAAAATAACAATTGGGGCAACGGTAAATCTCTAGACTTGTAACCGGAAGGTGCTCGCTTCGCATCTATGTAGGAACCCCTGCCATATTCACTCAGTCTTCTTCTTTGATATCTTCAGGCTGACCAGTCAAATTCCGGAGTGGAATCACAAAACATCGCTATCGCCTGTTTCCAAATCTCTGCTAATTCATTATTCACCTTGTAATTCAACGCTTTATTCCCATATGGTCAGGCAGTGTACATTCAAGCTCGATGCAATGTCTTCACAGAGGCTTTTCGTGGAATTTCTCAGTCTCTCCAGCAAGCCCCAGGAGAGAATCTCACCTTGTCCCACGGCAGTCATTTTCCTACCTCCTACTAATTCCGTATTCATCATATCTTTCGACGCGTTATGACTTGAGTATAAACTCATGGCCTCATTGTTAAATAAGTAAATAATATATAAATGTCACAAGATATGGAAATAATTATTTACAAACTCACCACCCCCGATAACCACAAAAATAACAACGGAATATTCTTGTCTTTGAGCAGACTGTTAACCATGGTAGTGAGGATCTGCAGCCTGAGGAATCGCCTCTGTCATTGAAGAATGACCTAAGTACAACAGCAAAACCTACCACAAGCACTCAAACACTGGTAAGTACACCAATTACCGGGATAGTTCCAAACATATGTCGCCCCATTCCATTTGCCATTCCTGCAGATCAGACTACATGTGTTTAGAAGGGCAGTCAAGAATGTGATTTATTCAGTGCATTGCAGGTACCTATTGTTATCATAAAAATTATAACACCGTGTGGTCTGGTAGCTTATCTTCAAGATCGAGGCAATAACCTAACAGACACTGGCATAACTCAGAATATGACAACAGGAATCCACTTACTTACTCATGGAACTGAGCCCTTCTGGGTAATCTTTCATCAATGGTTTCTACCCTGTCTTACCAATGTGTCTCTTCAAATGTCATTTCTTGCCCAGTAATCTTCAACCTCAAGTAGAAATGATTTGTAATTTCAGCTTTGATCCTGGGTTCTGCAGCTTGTACACTCGAAATGAATTGAATAATGCACAACTGATTAACCAAAGTGCAACCTTTTTGCTCCATTTTATGTTCTTTATAATGGTACAATGTGATAAATACTGCTCTGCTCTGTGAACACCCACTATAAACTTGCTGTACTGAATTACAGAGGCTGGCTTCTCTATCCTTTCTCCAAATTTGTTGGTGAATTCTCCAGTGGTGCCATTATTGTACTAATCATGCAAGCCTTCCTCTTATCCTTCCAGATGTGCAGAAGAACGCCCCCTTTCTGACGTCTCTTGTTAGTTCTTTAGAGGAGTCAGCCTATGACTTTGGAATCCCAATATTGTCCCTGACTATTCCGCAAACTCTTGTCTTCTTCAGGAGTAGCTTTACTGCAATTTGAACACTATTATAATAGTATCATGGTAAACATGGTGCCATAGGTTGGGGTAGGGTTCCAGGAGAGAAAATATGGTCTCTTCCAGATTCCTGCTGTATATATTGCCATAGTCCCAATATAGTCTGCAGTGGCCTCACACACAGTATGGAACAGTATTCCACACTTTACAAGTTCACCAGGATTATAGGTCCTGGACCTGGCGCGCCCTCTTCATGGGATCATCATCTCGTCAAATGATAGATCGTGGGAATTTCTAGCATTTCCTGAAATTTTCAACTAGGTTATCTAAAATTGGCCTGGTTTTCTGTAATCTATCTGCCTCATCATCCAGGGTGGAACTGTCACTGTAGTGCCTAAAATTCCAAATTTGCTCAAATCTGTTTCTGCTTATTAGCTTACCAAAAATTGGTGTTTCGGTTGATATTCTAATGCTCCAGTAATCCCTAGTTTTATCTTTTTTTGACATGGCCTATCAAAATGATTATTGCAAGTAACTTCTTCATACCTGTAATGCTAACATCTTTCCATGCTTTGGAAGCTTCGAGGAGTTTTTGTATTTGTCTGCATTTTGCTCATAGTACAAATCTGATTGCTCTACAAGTATTTCAAGAAAATCATTCCCAAGAAAGTGGTTCACTACTTCAGAAATACTGGTAGGATCTCTGGGCGTAAATGTCAGTCAATGTTACCTAAAAAGTGTTCTAAATTTCTTAAATCATAATTTGTGGTCCAACCTTTGTCAACATCACCGTAATCATGAACGCTTACATCTGAATCACTCACCTCTAACTTCTCCCATTTTCTTCCTGTGACGTTGAGGGTCCAATATCATTGTCGTCATAACCATTACTACCACTTTTATTAATTTTATAACCACTTAAAACAGCTGACAACCGATCTGGGTGTAATTCTTGCACAACTTCAACGTCTAGCAAACTATCCCTAAAACTGTCTGCCATCTTGAAACTAGATTAGACGGAAGGAAGAAAATCAAAGAACTAGTATTTCTTTTTCAGAGAAACAAAACACTGTAAAAGAAAATCAATTTGCACACATACATCTAGAAACATTATAATCAACGTATACATAGTTATAAGTTAAATAAATCTCCGTTAGATGGCAGAATAATACTGGTAACTACACAAGAAACCCTCGTCTCCATGGTTCCGAGAGATAAACATGAACCTCCGCGCCTTCATGTTCATTCATGTTAATAAACCGCATGAAACCGGGACACATCAGTCTCAAAGCAAGCCTAAACAGATTTAACATTGAAGAAGGCAGTCTTCTGGGATTTGGCACCGTGTATAAGTGGTGTTAACCGACGTTTCGGAGGAACGTATCGCCTCCATCTTCAGGGTAGAAGAAAAAGTATAAGAAATCTGCAAGCGACAAGACAGTGAGAACGGTAAAAGCAGACCGTTCTCACGGTCTTGTCGCTTGCAGATTTCTTATACTTTTTCTTCTACCCTGAAGATGGAGGCGATACGTTCCTCCGAAACGTCGGTTAACACCACTTATACACGGTGCCAAATCCCAGAAGACTGCCTTCTTCATAGTCACCGCCGTGAAAGCCTCAAATCTTACAGATTTAACATTGTGTCCATGGCCGAATGCGAATGTGTTGATGGGCTGCAAACCGAGGAACATATCTTCTGGGACTGTAAACTGTACCATGACCGCAAAAAAAGAATACCCAAAGTCAGTTATAGAGCTCTTAAGGCTAGAAGAAAAAAGATTTCTGCAAGGCGTCTGCTACTTCATAAACAACATTCCTATATTTATATAAAGTATATATGTAAGAAAAGTAAAAGAAGTAATAGTACTGATTATTAACAGTATAGTCTCAGATTTAAGTTAAGGTCTATAGTAAATCTCTGGGTAAACGCTATTACAGAATAAGATGTTTATAAGAATGTGATACAGAAGGCTGGATGGGCATTACCTAGGGTTTTCTTTTTTTTAAATTCAAGTGTATGTTCAAGCTCGACGCAATGTCTTCACGGAGGCGTTTCGTGGAATTCCTCAGTTTCTCCAGCAAGCACCAGGAGAGAATCTCACCTTGTCCCATGGCAGTCATTTTCCTAGCTCCTACTAATTCCGTATTCATCATATCTTTCGACGCGTTATGACTTGAGTATAAACTCATGGCCTCATTGTTAAATAAGTAAATAATATATAAATGTCACAAGATATGGAAATAATTATTTACAAACTCACCACCCCCGATAACCACAAAAATAACAACGGAATATTCTTGTCTTTGAGCAGACTGTTAACCATGGTAGTGAGGATCTGCAGCCTGAGGAATCGCCTCTGTCATTGAAGAATGACCTAAGTACAACAGCAAAACCTACCACAAGCACTCAAACACTGGTAAGTACACCAATTACCGGGATAGTTCCAAACATATGTCGCCCCATTCCATTTGCCATTCCTGCAGATCAGACTACATGTGTTTAGAAGGGCAGTCAAGAATGTGATTTATTCAGTGCATTGCAGGTACCTATTGTTATCATAAAAATTATAACACCGTGTGGTTTGGTAGCTTATCTTCAAGATCGAGGCAATATGCTCCTCCAAAAGATTTATACAAACCTAACACACACTGGCATAACTCAGAACACGACAACAGGAATCCACTTACTTACTCATGGAACTGAGCCCTTCTGGAGGAACTACCATTTCTGCAGCTAATCAAGAATTTTCCAGCATTTTATGGAACCCGAAGATTCATTACTGTGTTCACAAGACCCCTCCACTGGTCCCTATCCCGACCCAGATCGGTCCAATCCATACCAACCCATTCTATCTCTCTAAGACCCATTTTAATATTGTTCACCCACCTACACCTTGGTCTTCCCAGTGGCCTCTTTCCTTCTGTTTTTTTTTCCACCAATATCCTATATGCATTCCTAGTCTCCTCATTCGTGTTACATTCCCTGTCCACCTCATCCTCCTTGACTTGATCATTCTAATTATACTTGGAGAAGAGTACAAGTTATGAAGCTCCTCGTTATGTAGTTTTCTCCAACCTCCTGTCACTTCATCTCTCTTCTGTCCAAATATTCTCCTCAACACCCTGTTCTCAAACACCCTCAGTCAATGTTCCTCCCTTAATGTCAGAGACAAAGTTTCACACCCATACAGAACCACAGGCAAAATTATAGTTTTGTATATTCAAATTTTTATGTTTTTGGACAACAGACGAGAAGACAAAAGGTTCTGGACTGAATGGTAGCAAGCATTACCCGAGTTCAGTCTCCTCTAAATTTTCTCCTGAATCAGGTTTTGATTTGTTATAGTCGTTCCCAAATATCTCAACTGTGCCACATTTTCGAAACATCTGTTTCCTACCTTTATGTCATGATTTTGCCCTGAATTTTGGTGACGAGACAGCAACATATACTTAGTTTTCTCTGTGTTTACTTTTAGACCAAACTCCTTACCTGCGTCAATTAATGCTTGTGTGTTTTTCTTTATGGTTTCTATATTGGTTGACAGGAATCAACTGAAAAGGAAAATTCGTAATTCTCTGCACTATGCTCTCAGCATTCAACATGTATGAGTCGTTCCTACGCTTGAAAACGTTTTAGAGTGACTATCCACTTCACTCTCTGGCCCTGCTTTCGATAGCAAAAGACGCACACAAAAATAGATAGGGAGATAGGGACTAGCTCTATCGGTTGAGTTCAACTGAGTAGGTTTCGTTTGAAGATGGAGACAGAATCCAGTCTCCTAAACTCTGTGTTTTAAATAAGAACAGGACAATGGATAAAGGTAAAGCTATCCCTGTAACAGGCCGTGAAGGCCCACAGGGTTGTGAGTCATCGAGGCTTTCACATTTTCTAGATAATCGGCTCACAGATGGCGATAATTTTGTCAGCTTTACGTGCCGGCCGCGCTTTGCCCCCAGGGAGATTCCTGGTACTCATTTCTATTAGAAGCTGAGTCGACCCCAGGGCCATAATACGGCTGAAATAATTAGGTCAACTGAAAAATCAAATAATATCATCGGTATTCGATCCCGCGACCTTCCGGCTTGTAGCCTACTGCCTCAACCAACTACGCTACCGCGTGGCCCCTAGGAAAATGAATAATGCCCGAAAACACAATACTTGTATTGTGTCTCACCGTTACACAAGCATTATGATTCTCAATCTTCACAAGTTATATCCTGCCAACGGATTTACAACAGTCTCACTGTCACTTCAACTTACAAATGAAGAATTCTTTGCATAGTCTGACTCATTTCTCCTCAGTCACCTTCGACTGCCATCTCCAGTACTCAACAGTAACTTTTTCAAATAAACCCTTCTTCAAGTGAACTCTCTCAACTTCTGACAACTATGCTGCTGAACACTTCTTTATACCACTTTGCACAGACCATGCAGAAAACATATTTTCGATTATTAAGGATACGTATTTACTGATCCGTTGCTGTTGTGCGCGTTTTACTTTCCACGCGAATGTGTTTACCGAGCCGTTGCCTAACAGTGGGTATACACGTCACAGTATCAAGTAAGGTGTCTGCCGTGAACGTACACTTATATATTGCTTGAGTTAATTTGTGGCTTTTAAACGTAAGGTAATGAGAGCCTCGGTACGCCACTGACGTGTGATGTTAATTGTTTACAGGGCAAAGATGCGCAGAAACAACTCGCGGCTGAGGATGCAGAAACTCCCTGCACAAGCAAAATACACAATGTAGATGAAAATGAGGCTGAAGTCGAGAATTTCTCAAAAGGAACCGAAATGACTTCAGATAGAGTATCGCGAAGTATTCACAAAGAATTGCACAATTTGGCAGTACCCAAAGAAATAAAATCTGCCATAACTACCATGAAAGACAATCCATTGATTAAGAAAATGTCTCGCTGCTTAAAGAATGGTTCCCCTAAAGAAGAGGAGTTGCCAGCGGATGGTCAAATAGACAGCTTGAAGGAAGAGAGAGATCTAATGTCTGCCTTAGAACGTGCAGATGCAGACCTAATGGCCTTGAGGAAGAGCGTGGAGCATTTCAACGAAGACTGCTCAATATTATGTCCCTGTAGATTCTAAAGGGTTCTGACGATGGTGGACGACACAGAATTACTGGGTTTTTGGACTTCTTCCATCATCCTGAATTCTAAGTAATAGAGGACACGACATTTCGGAAACTGGATCTATTTCCGTCTCAGGTCTTCAGATCCAGTTTCCGAAACGTCGTGTCCTCTATTACCTAGAATTCCGGATGATGGAAAAAGTCCGAGAACCCAGTAATTCTGTGTATCATGTCCCTGATTGAGGTAATTCTGAATGAAAGAACAGGGTGTAAGGTCGCTGCAGTTCTGGAAGACAAGCCAAACCTTGTAACAAAATAACGCAATTATCTTTGGGGTGGAGGTGGGACAGAGGAACTTTTGCTTTATACTCTTGATTATATTATATTTTTCTACACTACTGTCTGGGAAGTTTTGTTATTACTAAGACGCCCTCACGTCCATTTTCTAACAAGTGATCATCGCCAGCTGAATTACACGGAATAAGGCAGTCCAAGAATTATAATGGAGGTTTCCCCTTTTCTTTATTTGTTCCTCATTAGACAAGCTATGGGATATGTTCAAAACAAGACGCTGACTGTGGCACCACTCACAGGACTGAGATAGAGGCAAATGCTATTAACTCAGGGTCCTTGATAACCACATCAATACCCACAACTGGGGGACAGGGTATCAACAATGATGGCATCCCACTTCAATTATTATTATTATTATTATTATTATTATTATTATTATTATTATTATATTACTCACGTTTACTGTATCCCTAAGATTTGTCCTTCTGATCAGGAAACTGTTGGACATTGGAGTTCCTGGTCCAGTATATCACAGACTTTTCTATGTTCAATGTCAGGAATTATAGCAAAAATATTCTTCCTGCTAAACGCGCTTCAGCTGCTAATAGATGTATATAGGGACGCAGATGTAGCTGGAACAAAATCTCTGTTTCTTAAATATATTTTGTCATTTGTACTCTTAAAAATTACTTATTAAAATGTCCCTTTCCAGAGTATTAACATATGTTATACATACTTTTTTTCGCTTCTTTTTGCATCATGGATGTCACGATGGCACCAGTTAAATCACCATTTTCTAAATGTTATTGTATATGTTACACAGGTTGCATAGTATATATTGGTTTGCTCCTTTGGTGTGATTACATCAACAGTGGCCTTATTGCGGTGGAGCCTGAATTATTGATGTTATTACATATTATCAGTATTAATGTTTCTATTACTTCTCTTATTGTTGTGTGACTTTTGTATTTATGTAGCGTTGTTTCGTAATGTAATTACCTGCATATACACTGTGCTGTGTATGTAATTTGCCTTGTAGCTGTTCACTCAGCACATAAATAATAAAGAATGAAATAATAATAATTTACATGCAAACTTAACAGCACAGAGGCCAATAACAAAGTTGACATGAGTACATAGAAATACACAAAGTAACTAAAAAACAAATACAAATAAGAAAGTCTATACTGTATAATGGCAATAAATTAACAATAATTCCAAGAAAGATTAAAGTTAGCATTAACAGGTGAGAAAAATAAAATAATTTTGAATGGTTATGCTATTATGTGGTGCGAAAAGAACAATACCCATACATACACACATAGAAGTTAATAATAACAACAATAACCCAATTCTTACTTATTCGTGTGGCAGCTCAACATCCTAATTCAATTCACGTTTATTTAGATGCAAACTTGACAGCACAGAGGCCAATTACAAGCAGTTTACTATATGTGTATACAAGTCCTGAATATACCGTTATGTCTGCGGGAATATAACAATATTGCAACAACTGACTTCATGATATGTACACATCATATTAAGAGTCATTAACCATATTTTACTCCATAACTTTCGTTTTATAATAAGTTTATAATTCATTGTAATTTTATACCATGTATTTTATAATGTAATAGTTATCAAGTATCCAGCTTTACTATGACAATGAAATTTCAGGCCAGTGGTGTGTGAAAATAGTAATCATGTGTTTTGCCTGATGATGGCTTTAAAAAGCTGAAACATGTAACTAGTTAATCTTAATCTTGACCATTATGTTGTTGTGTTATGACGGACTCCAATAAAGAATTGTACAACATACACATACATATGTAAGCTAAATGTAAAAGAAATATAAACAATAGAAGAATACATATTCAGAAAGAGTGAAAGATTAATGTAAGGAACTACTAAATGCAGACCATACTTACATGACCAAAGTAACTATGAGAAAAGAAGTAAGTATAGTTGAACAAACAAATACAGGAAATATACAGAAAATCAAAATCACCATTCCAAGAATGAAAAATAACAAAGTCCCAGGAGATTATGAATTGACAATACACAAGAGAAAAGCAGCAGGACCAATAGGAATGCACGAGGAAGATCTGGCAATAAAATGCGATACCAAATTGATTGAAATTGGGAGGGACAGTTCTAACATGTATGAAAGGAGACCAGAAAATATGCCATAACAACAGTGAAATAACACTTCTCACTTACTGTTAAAAACAATGATAGAATTTTGTCTAAAGACAAGAAATTGTATAGCCATGCAGTGACAAGCAACATACATTTTGGGAGAAATTCTTGATATCAGACACTTAACTGAGAAACCCTGGGAATGTGGCAAAGATATGGTAATTGCAGTCACTTATTTTGAGAAAGTATATGACAGTATGAAGAGAGAAAAGTACGGTCAAGCTTACAAAGTATGAAAATTCTTACAACAGAGTGAAGTTAACACAGAGTGACTATGTAATTGTGTTGAAACAAAATTATATTATGCCATCATGGATGACATTGCTAAGCATGTCAGAGGAAAGACCAAAGACCAGACATGAAAACTTAAGTATATGAAATAATGTGTTGTTTTATGGAAGAGATAAAAAGGAAAATCAAGAGAAATTAAATGAATGAAAACTAATTATTCAAAAATATGGATTGAAAATTAATATGAACAAAGTGAATACAAGAATTTCAATGAATCTAGACACAATCACAAATATAAATCACTCCGTCCAATGTGACCTGTAAGTTTTTTACTACATGAAAACTTAACACCCTTACACGTATCGGTCTCTGCGGACCATCTTCAGAGGGCAAACATCACTACAAATAGGAAACCACCATCACATAAGTTGTTTAGACGTAAAGTACGTACACTTATATGCTACAATGCATAGTACACATAATAGAACATTTCACAAACACAGCAGTTTCCTGGGAATGTAAAGTTTTTAAAAAATTATATAAAATTTCTTGATGCTAATTAAAAACAGCACAGCAGCCACGAGCAAACCCTGGACGATATAAAGAACCTCCACATCAAGATAGCCAGGTGGCACAATATCTGCCCCATACAAGAGAGACGATGGGAGGACGAACATGAGCCTGCATGGTTTACAAATTTTAAATACTGACAATACAAAAAAATTTTTAATTAGCATCAAGAAATTTTATATAATTTTTTAAAAACTTTCCATTCCCAGGAAACTGCTGTGTTTGTGAAATGTTCTATTATGTGTACTATGCATTGTAGCATATAAGTGTACGTACTTTATGTCTAAACAACTTATGTGATGGTGGTTTCCTATTTGTAGTGATGTTTGCCCTCTGAAGATGGTCTGCAGAGACCGAAACATGTAAGGGTGTTAAGTTTTCATGTAGTAAAAAACTTACAAGTCACATTGGACGGAGAGATTTATATTTGTAATTGTTAGTTTGACGGACCAGAATGAAACAAATCAAATTAATCTAGACACAATTACTGGAATACATTAATGATACTATGATTAAAGAGGTGGACATATTTAGCCTAGAAGTAAAATATATTCAAAATGGAAAATTGATGGAGAGATCGAAATAGAATACAAAATAATTCTAAATTCTATCAGATCATCAAAGGAATATAATGAAATGGAGAAATTCCAAAACAAAGCAGGATAACACTATCAAATTTATCTTTAACTCACAGTTATATTTTAAGGGTGAAACACAGACCCTAATAGACAAAAACAGAAAAAAAAAATCAACAAGTATATATTAAATTGTTTATAATTACTGAGGAAAGAACAAGAAGGGATAGAATTAAAAATAAATTTTTTCGAGAACTTGAACACAAGGCTGATGACCCTTCTCTATGAAGAAAATCATTGTTGCTAAACCCAAAGAAGTGAAAACCAGATGTTTAATTCAAGAAAGATTTGGTACAATCTTCTAAGGAACGTTATGGCTCAAAAAATGGCAGTTTTACCAATGGTAATGAAGATGAAGTTGATAACGACAATGATGATAACAATAATCATGTGATTTGAGGTTTTCACGGTGGTGACTATGAAGAAAGCTGTCTTCTGGGATGTGGTGCAGGGTTGTCTGTCTGTCACCAGCTGCACACGCTCGTGGATATTTTTCTTCTACCCTGAAGATGGAGGCGATACGTTCCTCCGAAATGTCGGTTAATACAATATCTACATGACCCCACATCCCAGAAGACGGATTTCTTCAATAGTCATGGAATTCACAGTTAGTTAGTAAAGTAAATGAGAGGTAATTACAGGTATCTGGAAATGTAAAAGTAATGGAGTAAGGATGATGAAAAGGACATTACAATTACTACATAAAGGAAAAATATCTATGGCAGAGTCCAGAAGAAGATGGTTCAGCCAGGTACTAGAAGGCTTCAAGGGAACAGGGAATAAGCTGACAGAGAAAGTGAAAAGGAAAGGATGTAGAAGTAGGAGACACTGGGGAATTTTCATTCAATGATTCATATAAAACAGAAATGATTCCAGAAGAATATGGTGAATATGTTTTGAATATGAGAAAAATTATATTTCCCAGACTTTCTGAACAGTTTACACAAACAACAGAATTACTTAACATAAATTTATACACAAATATACAGCAAATTATGTACAAATAAATATTTCTGTCTTGACAGTATGAACCTAACTATGAAACAGGCTCATTATATGCATGACTACAAACTTGACTGTAAATGCAG